GCTCTTAAATTTAGTTATCACTATAATTAAAGATTGTTAAACACAACATGGTATATTGAGATGTCGAGTCGCTCAAACCTGTAACTATATAATGTATGAGTTAGTTAACATTATAGTTAAGTATGCTATCAAAAGATAACATTCGTATGTGGAGAATGAAATTATGAAATCATGCATACCATCAAACTATTTCCCAGTTTCACTGTCCATACGTATACTAATCCAAGGGGTAATCGGAGGACTGCAACATTGCTAATAAGCAGTGTTGCAGTCCTCCGATGTAAGACATCTCATACATTTAACAACTTACATTAAAGAATCTCCGATCTTCACAACTGTAAATATTTGCTGTAGCACGGTTTTTTTTCAAAATACCTTCATTGTATAAGATGTATGTGGGCCTGAGACATATAATTGAAATACAATGAATGAGAGTGTGATGAAATATACTAGATTGTCAGCATTCACTGTATAGTGGCTCTATATCAAGGATGTAAGAAATCTGCCACAATGCACTCAGTGGAAAATATATAACTTCAAAACTAGAAACAATGCTGAAAGTCTTTTGTTTCAAATTATCAATACGGATGGGTGTATTAACTTTAGAATCCAACTTCAGAGAATAATGTACAAAGGTATACACAATGAGTTCATAAATAAATACTTCCTTTCCACTTTCTGAAGCCCTTACCTTGCTCTGTCGATACCTGAACCAAACCCCATGGCTTGGGAACTACCAGACATCAGATCCTGGAACACTGATTCCTGTCAATGTTTATGGACCAACTTAGCCCTTGCATACAAAGTACCTGCATTTACCTTCTCGAGTGCAGGCAGGGAGCTCAAGGCAACTTCATTTCATATTCAGCTGACACTGGTCCTGTGCTGATTGATAACAGGTCTGCGTGTTCGTGTGAAACATAATGCTGGTTTATAACTGTGCTCTATGTTTTATTGTGCAGTTATTTAGATTTACATGGTGTATGTGCCGTCACTGACGTCGGGGCATGGTGATGAATACCACTCTACAAGTGGGGTATTAGCGCATTTGACTGAGTCATTAGTTTAAACTATGTTTCCGCAAATACTATATTCAGATAAATAAAAAGCAAAATAGCAAAATAGCAATCCTTTGAAATTTAACCTGGAAGGGCTGTGTATTTTATAATTCCTTATCTAATTCTTAAACTATATGGAATGGCGAATGTTATGTTAACATTCTACAGTAATTTATTACGAACATAAGCCGAATCAGTCTGAAGCGCAGCTCATATCCTTTTCACCTTTTTAAATCTTAAATTAATTTTTTTGGTTCACACGATTGAGTAAATGTTCATATATACCAATGGGTTGAGCTACTTAGGTTCGTTGATTTACACGTTAATCCACGAACTTAGCTGATGAGTGGATAAAGCCACCAAAGTCTGCTGGTTGACTGAGGGCACGACTAGAATAGTCGAACTGCCCTCAGTCGAGAGACTCCACCCACCGGTTGTAGAAGGCACTGAAGGTTTGTAAAATGCTTTTGCCTTTTAAAACTAAAACATGTTCTACATCAGAGTCGACCAAGATCTCTTAAATGCGTTATATGTCCAATACACTGTGGCAGATTGCTGCTACGAAGTTAAATTGTATATGCAAATTGTGATCCCGACATTTGAGGGGTGTGTCGTATATTGAGCCAGCGATTGTGCAGCATCAGCTGTTCGAGATTGGAGACATTATCATGCGTGGACAAGCGGAAGCTGAATTATTTATTGACTTCTGTGTGAACCCCATATAAGGTAGAATACTTATCATTGATCATCTAAGTGTCAAGGTTAACACAAGGTAAGTCATTTTTTATATGTATATAATATATACTTATTTCCTTGATTAAATCCTGTAAATTTGATATCTTAGTTTTACGTTATCTGATTTAGAAGGTTTGTACCGTGGACAGACAGTTAGATCAGTTTTTATGGTGACATTATCTCCATAACACATTTTGTCTCCTTGTATAACGTAAACAAACCCGTCAGTGGTCAACGGTTTTTGATTCGTTGTTGTACCGGTAGCCACCATGTTTTATGCTTTTCTGATTGTTGATTCTGAAAGTATGGTAACCAGTCAATAACTTTTATTTACCGTATTGTTTCAGAAAATGGCAAGTAGTATACACAATGGGGCTATGGGACCATAGCCCCATTGTGTATACTACTACTGAGGTGCATGCAAAATTTGATGAAAATCGGCCGAATAGTTTCTGAAATACAATGTATTGACTTTTAAGTGAGCATGGGGTCGGTCGGGACAAAAGGCTCAGGTCGCCTCGGGGGTGGTTGCTCCTCCGAGCGCTGTGGGCGGACGAGTCGCAGTGCGTGTGCGTGTATCTCTCTCGGCTTGGTGTACGGGTGGTTGGCTGGCTGGCTACATTAAGCAGAAAAATAGGCATGCAAGACTGACAAAAAATCATGACGAGAAACTATCATCACACGGTGGGTGATGTGTAAGGGACTGTGTCGTGAGGTACGATCATCAACTCCTCTCTGACGAATGCTCTAGGCGGTCTGTCTTTCAAGTAGTACAAGTTCGGTTCGCCATCTTTGATGTCGACAAGGTCTACGTTGTACGTTTTCATGGACCATATCGGATCGGTGGCGCGTTTTCTGCTGTCTCCCTCGTATTCTCCCGGCTGGTACAAGTACCTAACGCTGACCCGGTCTGGTAATGTTTCCCCTATTTTTTTATCGCGACATGCTGCTGCCGACGACGATTCGACTGATTTCATTTTGATGGCTTCTACGGGTCTCTTGCTCACGAGTCTGGTGACTTCAATGTTGATGGCATCCACCACTCGGGCTAAGCGTACGACCCATTCCGTGTTTCTGTTTCCGGGATCCATTAAATCCTGCTAGTATTGGTGCGAGGACAGGCGTTCGGCTAGGGTGCGATTGAATCTCTCAACAATGGCTTGGCTACGGTGAGCTCCCGCTATACCTCGTCTCACTTGGACCTTGTGCTTGGCCAGCAGCTGTGACACGGCGCCCATGAACTCGCGTCCGGGATCGACATGCAATACGGTAGGCCATGTCAAGCGGCTGCGTTTGTATATGCGTTCAAAGGCTTTGGTGACTTCGCTCGAATCTTTCGTTGTCAACGGTTCGGCTTCCTTGTAGTGACTGGCAACGTCGACAATCGTCATGGCGTACTTGTAGGTTTTGCGCCTCACCCTGTCGTGAGGGGAGAAACAGAGGTCGGCTTGGTGGACGTGATTCGGCTTTGAAATGTCGAATTTTCTTCAAGGGATGTATCGAGGTGCTGGCAGGTAGACTTGCCAGATGGCTTGTTTATTAAGCCAGGCTTTGGCTTTCTCTTCCGAGACTCGAGCGGCTTTGGCGAGTTTCGGGATGGTGTCTGCGCCTTTCCAGTACCCACACGGGCTGTAATACATTTTCTCCATGATATATGTACGCTTGTGTGCATTAGCGTTCAATTATTCGATACGAGTTAGTGGTGACTCCATCGATGGTGATCCATCGTTTCGTGTCCATGGGAGACAGCGAGGTCTTGTTGATTCTCAGTCCGTATATCCTGTGTCATTCGCTTCTCAGCATGTTCATTTGGTGTTTGAATGTTTTATTCTTGAACAGGGCTTGCTTGAATCTGGCGTGCTTGATGTGTTTTTTCACGCCTTTTGGCTTTCGGATTTCATCGTCGTTGGCTTTCTTGATGGAATACATCTTGGGTCTCAAGCCAACGTACTCGGCGATCGGCGTGCCCGCGCATTCGTCCTTCATCTTGCCGAGCACTTTTTTTGTTGACTTAGCTGTGCATAGGGTGATCTTTAGGGTAGTTTCTGGTGTCGTACAGGTGCATGTGTTTCTTCATGTCCTCGTACACGTCCACAGTGTGAATTTCCATCAGCAGAGAATCTGTGTCCGTGTACCGCACTTCACACCTGTCGCCATACTGCTTTTTCAGCTCGTTGTAGTAGAAATCGTACATCAAGTGTTTGGATAAGTCGAGGATGCTCATCCCCACATAAACGGGCCGGTTGAATTTGATGTGGCTTTTGTTCATGTGCAGCGCTGCCAAGTCATCGTCGAATATTTTGCTTCGGTTGAACGCCGGGCTGGCTATAAGTTTCCTGAGTCTTTCTTCCTCGCTGGACTAATTTCACGTTAACGCGTTTTCTCATTCGTGACTGAAAAAACGTAATTTTTAAACACGTCGATGAACCGAACTATGAAATGTCAACCATCCTTTGCATCGACCACAATAATCAGTTGAGTGAGATCGGTAGCACTTATATTACCACTTTTAGAATAAAACACTCCCGGTTTGTACATATTTGAATTGTTATATAGTATACATATCTACTTTTTCAAAATGTACGTGACGCTTCTGGGAATCACGAGTGGCGAGTCCGTTCAACTGCTGCACACGATCGATAACACGTCCGGTCAGCTCGAAGTCATGCTCTGCGATATCACCTACTACCCACTATGGACCAACATCAACTGCAGAAACAACGGGCTGTTCGTCAATAAGGCCTGCAACCAAATAATGGACGGCAATAACGGATGGCTCACTCAACGAGGAAATCTTCAAACCCCTGGGAACCAAACTCAAAATGAACCACTCAAACGGCACGGTCATGTTAGCCAACAATGCAAAAAACACTTTGAGACTCAGTCGGCCGTTGGCTAACACGCTCGGGTTGATGTCGAACGACATACCACCGGAAACCACCATGACCGGCACGAAATTACCCAATCTCGTTCTGTATCGTGAACTGTGCATTCATCTCGATCAGCTGAGCACGACCAACAACATTCAAGGCGAACGACCTTCCACACTGATGAGAGCCCTGCCGGTGAAAACGGAAAAGTACACGACATCAGAACCGAATCGTTTTCGTCGCAGCATTACAAGAAATTAATCCCAGGCAACATCACGGAATTGAAAATATCGGTTTTAGACGTTAAACATCTCAGCGCGACGCTGCACATACGGCAATGACAGTCCAGGAACACGCGTTAGCGATCTCCGACCTCCGGGACACGTGCGATTCAACGAACCTAGAGTCGACGGCAAACTATACGTCTTGCAACTGGAAAACAGCATTTACAAACGCGTGGAACTGCCGCCCTGTACTGCCGCTGGTGGTGGTGGCAACGACCTGGGCGATTTCATCGATATCGAAGGAGCGGTCAACAACACTCGGTACGACCTGATACACTACACCAAGGACGAATGGACAATAACCCCAGCCTTCCTTGGTAGGATGTTGCACCTGGACGACGTCGAGACCACATCCGTCTCCAGAAACAGCAGTACACTCTCATCTTCAACGACGACAACAAATGGGTATTAGTGCCATCCCAAATCGACTGGAATCTCAACATCACACTCGACTCTCCCCACATTTTCACGGACAACAAAGATCACTACCTGACAAAATCAATATCGCTTTCCTACTCGACAACATACATCTCATGTGTTTAAAGTGCACGTCCAAGGAATTATCCGATAACCAATTGAAACCATTTCGTAATACATTATATATAAACGAGATGAACCATCATCATCCCAACGTCACGCTAGCCGATCTCGGGGACACGCGGGGTCTCGATCTGCCCGGCGAGGAAAACGCCTTGTACGCCATGTGCTTACATGATAACGTGTACAAACGAGTCATCATCGAATCTCAATTGAACTGGATTATTAACCTGGTCCTGACCTACCCCTATCTTATCATGGATAATAATGATGGTGGCGTCTCGCTAAAAAAATATCGGGATACTGCAGGGGAGGTTTGATCCTGGAAGAAGTACGTGGATGAGCGGAGCGCCATTACCAGATCAAACGGTAGTCCCCAATGAGAAAAAAGCAGCGTTATTTTTACTAAAATATACTGATGTGGCAGACTCGTGGATCAGTATGATACAAGGTTCTACTCTTATTATCGAAATATTTCTTGGAGATGCCCCCGGAGTAGATATAAACCTTCTGCATGGGTTAAAAAAACGCTGGCATGATCGCCATCAACATAAACGTTGTCGTATTTGTATACAACCAGGAAGAACCACCACCGCAAACCAAGATATTATGATATTTCAAAAGGATTTTATTGAATTCCAGACCATTTATATATACGAAAACTTGTACTTCAGCTTAAAGTATATTCATCAAACATTGACTTAGGACCAATTAAATACTATTTTATAAAAAGAGTATATATACAGAATGGGACTGTACCCGGTCGTGGATGAAGTGGCGAAACACTGGAAACCGTAGACTGGTTTTGTTTGTGACAGATATGCGAAATCAAACAACAACTAGAACGTGAATGCGATACGGGGTCGGCACTACAGAAAAAATATCACAGGGCCGTCAATTCCGTGGACGGTGTTGACAGCGCTCTGGTTTTAGTCAGCATGGGATTAGGCGTAGCAGGTATCGGGTTATTATCCACCATTGAGGCCGCACCCGTGGTGCTAGGCATCGAAATAACAGCCGGAGTGGCAGGGTTGATGGGATTGACTTCGCAGTTCGTGTCTCACAGACTGCAACGTAAAGCATTGAAACACGATGAAATTAGAATTCTAGCCGGAGCGAAGTTAAACACGATAGACGATCATATTTCCACCTCGCTCACCAACTCTAAAATCTCCGAGGAAGAGTTTCGTTTGGTGCTATCAGAAATCGCAAAATATCACTGAATGAAACAAGAGATTCGGACCAAGTCTCGTAAATACGCCGTCATTTGCGAAGACGATAAAAAAAAAAATTCATAGAAGAAGGGAAGCAACAGGCCCGACAAGCCTTCATTACAACAACCAAACAAATCAAAGGAGATTCACAATAAACTGTTTCGAGGACATCAACATAATGTAGCCAGCCATCTCAGCGATCTGTAGGTAAATAGCCGAGCCGAGACATACACACTGCCACTCGCCCACAGCGCTCGCTCAATGGTACCGAGACGTCAGCGAGTCGATGGGGTATGATTTAGTGGAAATCAACATAACCTTGCCAGCCAGCCAGCCAGTCGGCTGTACAAGCCGAGCCGAGACACACACACTGCGACTCGCCCACAGCGCTCGCTCGGTGATACCGGACGACGACCCGTGGAGGAAATTGCCGAAAGATGCGTCTCATTCACTTTCAGACATCTGTAGCCTCGCTAGTCAGCCGGCCGTGCATCATCATAGCCGAGCCGAGAGACACACACACTTATACTCGTCCACCCTGCTCGCTCAAAGCAGAGACCATATTATATGGTCTCTGCTCACAGCAACCCCCGGGACGGTAGCGAGGTGATGACTTCCGAGACCTGCGTTTCATTCGGCTAAAAACACCTCTCGCCTCGATAATATATAACAAGTACGACAATACGTTGGATTGTTAGCCTTTCGCCATACCGACCACATGCTCACTAAAAAGTGATTATTTCCTAAACTATTTGACCGATTTTCGTGAAATTTTGCATGCACCTCGGCAGATGGTTACGCTATAGGAAAACGGCATTGGGAACACTCTCGATGACTTCATTGGATAATTAAGACTTAGTTACGACAAAAAGTTGGACATTTTGCCTTTTCCCGACCGACCCCATGCTCACTTAAAAGTCAGTATTTCAGAAACTATTTGGCCGATTTTCATCAAATTTTGCATGCACCTCAGTAGTAGTATACACAATGGGGCTACGGGTTTAGGGACTTCCCAAGGGCTCAATTTTTAAATTGACCCCTTTGTGGGGACCTGGTCCCGTAGCCCCATTGTGTATACTACTTGGCATGTTTTGATGATTATGTGTTGGAAATGATATATGTAAGGTGTGTTGATTTCATTCGGTATGTCACATTCGTGTCTTGTGTAAAATAGTAATTCCTCATTTTGCAATACCAAAAGAGTGTTTGTTTGTTGCACAGATCATGTCTGTGACTCAATATTCTGTGTACGTACTCTTCCTCCAACTCTACGTCACTGCGGGATTTCCATTCGGAGCGAGTCCTCAGGCCTGTGGTCACATGAAACCTGTAGGACATCCGGGAGTGGAAAACACCACCCCAGCTCCTTACAGGGTGCTTGTCAGTCACAACAACTACTACGATGGGCACTCTCTCAATGGTTAGACATGAAACATGTCTATATTGTATGTATTCTTGGATGAATAATGCGAGTACGTGAGATTTTAACAACAAATCTTCACTGAACAAGAGGAAACTTCTTCGTAATTCCAGAACAAAAGTGATCGCAAAAGATGAATTTGAACGTTAGTTTTATATCTTTAGCATACACAGAACGTTATACTTCACATATAGTCGTGGTCAGGAGTGAAGACGCGTTGTCTTAAAGACGTCAGTGATAGTGCTATGTATCGATTTGATCATTACGTCACGAAACAATAAGTCAATAAACCTAAGGTATTTTCACAACTTCAACACTACTTCAGGGCAAGTGAATAGCACTAGTATGATGTGTCGTATGAAGTCGTTTAACTATATATATACAAATATATACATCTTATTGATTTCAATGTGTTACTAGGTCTGTTATGAATAATAGGTCTTTGGATGTAGATCACATACACCCCCACCCCCACCCACCCCTCTCTCTCTCTCAATATATATGGTGTGTTGATTATAGATGTACCACCATCCCTGTAGATGTAGATGTACCACCATCCCTGTAGATGTACCACCAGCCCTGTAGATGTACCACAATCCCTGTAGATGTAGATGTACCACAATACCTGTAGATGTACCGTCATCCTTGTAGCTGTAGATGTACCACCATCCCCGTAGATGTACCACCACCCCTGTAGATGTAGATGTACCACCATCCCTGTAGATGTACCACCATGCCTGTAGATTTACCACCATGCCTGTAAATGTAAATGTACCTCCATCCCTGTAGATGTACCACCATCCCTGTAGATATAGATGTACCACCATGCCAGTAGATGTACTACCATGCCTGTAGATGTACCACCATCCCTGTAGATGTAGATGTACCACCATACCTGTAGATGTAGATGTACCACCATCCCTGTAGATGTACCGCCATCCTTGTAGCTGTAGATGTACCACCATCCCTGTAGATGTACCACCATGCCTGTAGATGTACCACCATCCCTGTAGATGTAGATGTACCACCATGCCTGTAGATGTAGTTGTACCACCACCATCCCTGTAGATGTACCACCATCCCTGTAGATGTAGATGTACCACCATGTAGATGTACCACCATGCCTGTAGATGTAGATGTACCACCATACCTGTAGATGTAGATGTACCACCATCCCTGTAGATGTAGATGTACCACCATACCTGTAGATGTAGATGTACCACCATCCCTGTAGATGTAGATGTACCACCATGCCTGTAGATGTAGATGTAGATGTAGATGTACCACCATACCCTGTAGATGTAGATGTACCACCACCATACCTGTAGATGTAGATGTAGATGTACCTGTAGATGGACCACCATACCTGTATGTACCACCATGCCTGTAGATGTAGATGTACCACCATGCCTGTAGATGTAGATGTACCACCATGCCTGTAGATGTAGATGTACCACCATCCTGTAGATGTAGATGTACCACCATGCCAGATGTAGATGTACCACCATGTAGATGTAGATGTACCACCATGCCTGTAGATGTAGATGTACCACCATGCCTGTAGATGTAGATGTACCACCATCCCTGTAGATGTAGATGTACCACCATACCTGTAGATGTAGATGTACCACCATCCCTGTAGATGTAGATGTACCATCTGTAGATGTAGATGTACCACCATGCCTGTAGATGTAGATGTACCACCATACCTGTATGTAGATGTACCACCATCCCTATCACCATACCTGTAGATGTAGATGTACCACCATCCCTGTAGATGTACCACCATCCCTGTAGCTGTAGATGTACCACCATCCCTGTAGATGTAGATGTACCACCATCCCTGTAGATGTACCTGTACCACCATCCCTGTAGATGTAGATGTACCACCATACCTGTAGATGTAGATGTACCACCATCCCTGTAGATGTAGATGTACCACCATCCCTGTAGATGTACCACCATACCTATGTAGATGTACCACCATACCTGTAGATGTAGATGGACCCACCATCCCTGTAGATGTACCACCATGTAGTTGTACCACCATCCCTGTAGATGTAGATGTACCACCATCCCTGTAGCTGTAGATGTACCACCATGTAGATGTACCCTGTAGATGTAGATGTACCACCATACCTGTAGTGTAGATGTAGATGTACCACCACCATGTACCTGTAGATGTAGATGTACCCACCATACCTGTAGATGTAGATGTACCACCATACCTGTAGATGTAGATGTAGATGTACCACCATACCTGTAGATGTAGATGTACCACCATACCTGTAGATGTAGATGGACCACCATACCTGTAGATGTAGATGTACCACCATACCTGTAGATGTAGATGTACCACCATACCTGTAGATGTAGATGTACCCCACCCCTGTAGATGTAGATATACCACAATTCTTGTTAATGTAGATGTACCACCATACCTGTAGATGTAGATGTACCACCATGCCTGTAGATGTAGATGTACCACCATCCCTGTAGATGTAGTTGTACCACCATACCTGTAAATGTAGATGTACCACCATGCCTGTAGATGTAGATGTACCACCATGCCTGTAGATGTAGATGTACCACCATGCCTGTAGATGTAGATGTACCACCATCCCTGGAGATGTAGTTGTACCACCATACCTGTAGATGTGTATGTGCCATCACGTATGTAGCTGTAGGCGTACCAACATATAAGATAGCCCACATAAGCAGTTTAGTTAGGTTCACAGGATATGGTGCTGCTCTTCCAGTGACTCTGATGTCGGCGGTGAGTGGTATCAAGTTCCGGGGTTTCCTACTCCAGGCACGGTGTCGGACGTGTACCAACCCAGTAATACCAGTAGGCGCATTTAGAACCATCCGGGGGCAGCCACCCGGCAGAGTGATGAACTGCTTCCACACAATTGTAAGTATAATGTTCGCTTATATAGTACGAACACCAGCAGGTACAAGAACCTGATGGTGCCACTTTACTTGCTATTTCTTTGCTCGCTTCGAGTGGTTGTTTTTTTCTTCGAAATTTAGAGTTTTTTCTCGTTGGCAATAAGACATGTTGTCCCCATTTGATTGGAAAGCCGCCGTCGTAGTCTAATGAAGAAATCTATTTCACTTCACTTTCCATTACTATAGATTGTACATGTATGTCATGTGGCAAGTGTACACGTCATGCATGAGGTTCTAGTTGACATCAGTCTACAGCGTGTTGGTTTCCGTCCTTACAGGGTGCTGCAACCCAGCTGTCCAATATACCCAAGGACAAAGTTGTGATCACTTGGACTCCTCCGGATAATTTTGACAAGGAAGTTCATATGAGGTATGGATATGAAGAGACGGAAGGAGAACAAAAATTACCCATTTTATGCAGCAAAAACATATTTCAACGGTTTGTAAGAAAACTGTACTTCTGCCTTTTTGTCAGTTCGTGCAACTTTTATTTTGTTGTTTTCTATAAAATATTGATACACCTGTCTAATGTTTCTGACTGTTTATTAGAGTAACCTTCGTGGAGTCGAGGATGTCATACTGGGCAAATGTGATATCTGAACCTATCACGAGAAGCAACGGTCCACCAACAACAACACAATCAACCACAACTGTAGCTACAACGACACAAGCAGCCACAACGACTGAAGCCACAACAAAACCAACCACAACGACTGAAGCTACAACAAAACCAACCACAACGACGGAAGCTAAAACTTCACAACTAACCACAACGACCGAGGCCACAACAAAACCAACCACGACGACCGAGGCCACAACAAAACCAACCACAACGACTGTAACAACAACTTCACAACTAACCACAACCACAACCACCGTAACTACACAACCAACCACAACGACTGAAGCTACAACTAGAACGCCAACTACAACGACTGAAGCTACAACTAGAACGCCAACCACAACGACTGAAGCTACAACTAGAACGCCAACTACAACGACTGAAGCTACAACTAGAACGCCAACCACAACGACTGAAGCTACAACTAGAACGCCAACCACAACGACTGAAGCTACAACTAGAACGCCAACTACAACGACTGAAGCTACAACAAGAACGCCAACCACAACGACTGAAGCTACAACTAGAACACCAACCACAACGACTGAAGCTACAACTAGAACGCCAACCACAACGACTGAAGCTACAACAAGAACGCCAACCACAACGACTGAAGCTACAACTAGAACGCCAACCACAACGACTGAAGCTACAACTAGAACGCCAACCACAACGACTGAAGCTACAACTAGAACGCCAACCACAACGACTGAAGCTACAACTAGAACACCAACCACAACGACTGAAGCTACAACTAGAACGCCAACCACAACGACTGAAGCTACAACAAGAACGCCAACCACAACGACTGAAGCTACAACTAGAACGCCAACCACAACGACTGAAGCTACAACTAGAACGCCAACCATAACGACTGAAGCTACAACTAGAACGCCAACCACAACGACTGAAGCTACAACTAGAACGCCAACCACAACGACTGTAGCTTCCACATCACAATCAAGAACCACAGCTGTAACTACACCACCAACCACAACGGGCACTATGCAACCAACAGCAACGATAGAAGCTACATCGACAACACCACCAACCACAAATATACCTACTACACAACCAAGAACACTGACTGAAACTACAACAGGAATGGCAACAACCACACAGCTTACAACTACAACAACTACAACGTCATCCACGGAAAAAAGATCAACAACAGCATCAACAGTTGCATATATCACAGCCGCCAGTGTATCAGTGGGCATCAACCTCGTTACCAGTTCTCTTCCGGAGGAAAGACTGAGCTTGCCAGCTGGCTCCACACAGTCTTCCCATCACCAGCATGTAAACTCCCCATGGAGTACAATACCTTACCCTGTGACTACCATGTGTTCGTCGTGTCCACAGTTTGGGTCAGCAGTGTGGATATCAGTAGCTGGTGTTGGTGTTGTGGTACTGGCGAAGTACCAGATCGTTCATTTGTTGTGGCAGTAAATCAGCGAGGAACACAATCAACACATGTACAGTCAATGTGATACCACAAAACGTGGGAAGAAGCTCCAAAGCTTGGAATGAATGAACAGATTTTGTTTTCAAGTGAAGTAGTTGTACTAAATAATATTCTGAACACTGCACACTGAACACCATGCGTATTATCTACCAAACTAATTAACAATATACAATACAATTTTTTAAATTATGTAACTGTCTGTATTTTTTATTGTCTAATCATTCTTTGCCTAAGTGGATAAAAATATGTAAAGGAGGTCGTGATAACCTCGTTGTTTTAGATCCGGCTTAGACCCGTGAAGATCCGGCTTAGAATTAATCTTCAGTAACCCATGCTTGTCGTAACAGGCGACTAACGGGATCGGGTGGCCAGGCTTGCTGACTTGGTTGACACATGTCATTCTATCACAATTGCGTACCTCAAAATATTTCTCGTGTAGCTGCTGGTGGAATATATTATACAAAGAGAAAGTTAAAGTCATCCACCTTGTCATTTAAGCATATTCTGTCACATTTTGCATCTTTATGCATGGATCTCAACCTCAGAAAAATAATGTTCACTTCTCTGGTCTCTGTTTAGTTCAGGTGGATAAATCAGCGGACAGGAATTGGATATTTGATTAGTGTGCAACGATATCGGATCATCGTAATTTAAACTTCTCTGCCATGTTTACATGTTTTCTTTTTGCTATTGATATACACAAAGACAAGTAGACAACTTCCCCATATGGGAATACATACTTTGGCATGATGTCTTATCTCCAACTTCCACGAAGATGCTATAATAGGGATTCATTTCACATATTGATTTCTCGTGAACATTTGCTTACAGTTTTGACACATTTGTCCCTAAACCGCTGGAGATGTAATAATGTCAACACTCACGGTAACAAGAATACAAGAATACCCTATGTGACAGGAAGACAATTCTCATTTGTCGTGTGGGATAGTGTTGTACACAGTTCAAAAATCAAACATTAAAAAATATTGTTTTCTTTCCTGAGACTGCAAGAATTAAAGTAAATCTTTGGAGTTTTGAGAAGCTAGGTCGTATTAATTCTACTTATTTCAAATACCTTTTTTTGAAAGTTCTCAATGGCTTCAATGAGGATTATGCCGAGTCTTTGAGATAGGGATTTTGTGGGTCCCTTGCTGGACTGACCAATAGTTGTGTTTGTATTGATGTACAGGAGACCTTTTGGAGATGTTACAGAACCTAACACATCCAATTATATCATTGTATTTATTCCTGACTGGTACAAAATGTTCAGTACTAAAATCAGGTGTCAATACTTTAAGAGGCCTTTTAAAACAAGTTATGAAATGAAAGTTTAACTTCAGTAATATTAGAGACGATTCTAATATACTTTTTTGTTTCTAATCCTGTTGGATTCCGTTTTATCGAGCTATGGTCAGTAAATGCTACACATATTTAGAATACAAAGAGCATGTACAGGAGAAGCCCTAGTGTCAGACCAAGTGACGATGTTGCAGCAGTGTAGGGCGAGGCTGACGGGCTCCATGTTGTCGTGGGTAGTGTCGGTCGTGTCGGACGTGTCGGACGTGGGCGTGTCACGGCTAGAGTAACATCAATTTCTAGTGGCACTGACATGGCGTTCATTGTCTGGGAAACAACATTTCCCCACCAAAGTGTGCTGTGTTTAACAAACGTCGCTCTGAAAATAACAAAGCACGATAAGTTGATGTTAAAGGTTTGTTTGACATAAAGATAAAGTATTCGTTGTATCTGAGGGTACTAGGGACAAAGGTGCCTGTTTCATATGTTGGTGTCTATGACCCGCAGAAGTGTGATGGTTGTTCGTATTTTGTAGATATTGCAAATGCTGGATGTAATAAATGTCCTATACTCTCACCGCATGATAACGACGTCCGTGAAGCCAGAAGGCGGCAACCACGTGAAGGTCACACTTGTCTTGGGATCTGTGGATGATGCTGTCACGGCGGCCTGCAAGTAGCAAAGTTCATTAAAATCAGGGCACTTGGTCTCCAAGTACTGAGCTGATGTAAGAAGTCCGCCTACTGACTCCATGATCGGATGTAAGGACTACGCCCACTGACTCCATGACCAGATGTAAGAACTCCGCCTACTGACTCCATGACCAGATGTAAGAACTCCGCCCACTGACTCAATGACCAGATGTAAGAACTCCGCCCACTGACTCCATGACCAGATGTAAGAACTCCGCCTACTGACTCCATGACCGGATGTAAGAACTCCGCCCACTGACTCCATGACCAGATGTAAGAACTCCGCCTACTGACTCCATGACCAGATGTAAGAACTCCGCCTACTGACTCCATGGCCGGATGTAAGAACTCCGCCTACTGACTCCATGACCAGATATAAGAACTCCGCCCACTGACTCCATGGCCGGATGTAAGAACTCCGCCCACTGACTCCATGACCAGATATAAGAACTCCGCCTACTGACTCCATGGCCGGATGTAAGAACTCCGCCTACTGACTCCTCCGCCCACTGACCAGATATAAGAACTCCGCCCACTGACTCCATGACCAGATGTAAGAACTCCGCCTACTGACTCCATGACCAGATATAAGAACTCCGCCCACTGACTCCATGACCAGATGTATAAGAACTCCGCCCACTGACTCCATGACCAGATATAAGAACTCCGCCTACTGACTCCATGACCAGATATAAGAACTCCGCCTACTGACTCCATGACCAGATATAAGAACTCCGCCTACTGACTCCATGACCAGATGTAAGAACTCCGCCCACTGACTCCATGACCAGATATAAGAACTCCGCCTACTGACTCCATGACCAGATATAAGAACTCCGCCCACTGACTCCATGACCAGATATAAGAACTCCGCCTACTGACTCCCTGACCAGATATAAGAACTCCGCCCACTGACTCCATGACCAGATATAAGAACTCCGCCCACTGACTCCCTGAGCCCTGAGGAACCTATCATGTATAAACGTCCAGTAAACCAAGCAAACCGTAGGTTCGAGAGAGGGTGTTGGTGGGTGTTGGTGACAAAAGCTAAGGTATAGAAACTGTACTTGGACGCATAAATAATATACAATGCGTTAAGAGATCGTTGTTTAAAGTCTCAGAGAGCAATGTCACTGACGCATCACGTAAGTGTTCGAGTCTGGACAAGATAAACCAGTTTTCAACAGCTGGGGCATTATGACTCACAGTGAGCCAAGTGACAAAGCATGACCATGTGTGTATCTTAGCGGGGCGGTGAGGTAGCCTAGTGGTTAAAGCGTTGGCTCGTCACGCCGAAGATCCGGGTTCGATTCCCCACATGGGCACAATGTGTGAAGCCCATTTTTTTGCTGTCCCCCGCCGTGATATTGCTGGAATATTGCTAACAGCGGCGTAAAATTAAACTCAGTCGGTCAGTCAGTGTATCTTAGCCGTCCCTCACGACAAACAGATGGCTGAGAATCTGTTTGAAGGCCCACGTGTCTTGACAAGAGAACATTTTGCATTTACCATTGTATTGTAACAGGCGAGTATCTCGCTGGGTGGCTGTCCGGTAGGGATGGTGAAGGTTCCAACAGGCACCGTCAGATTAGAACAGGTGAGACATCTAGCTTGTAGAAAATAGTCCACGAACGTGGTCGAAGCGTCCGTGGAGGAAAGTACCACTGAAAATATAACATTGACATTCAGAGGATGTCGACATAAGTATGGTGGTGTTTATTGGGTCAGTAGTGATATTACGCCACATCAGTGTGTAATTGATCACAACTGGACCAGACAAACCAACCAATAAAAGTCACCAACTATGTATTACCCCGACTATGTATCATCCAGGTAACAAAGGCTGACTGGCTGATAGCTGGCTTGTATGAAAAGCATGAGGCTGTGGGCATGGTCTGACCATGAATCCCCAGAGGGAGATGGGCTTGATACACTCCTTCTGTCCACAAACCTCCACAATGAGACAAGTACCAGTTACTCTGTCCTCAAAAGCCCACAGTGAAGAAAGAATGAGGTATTGGGGGCCCACCCTTTCCACAACCCTTCACATGGATTCTGGCATGAGGTAGTGAGGACCTACTCTGTCCACGAATCTCTGCAGGGTGGCAAAACAGAAGGTACTGGGGGCAGACTGTCCACGGATTGCTACAGGGAGGCAAATCATGAGGTACTAGGGGCAGACTGTCCATGGATTGCTACAGGGAGGCAAAACAGGAGGTACTGGGGACAGACTGTCATTGGATTTCTTCAGGGAGGCAAAACAGGAGGTACTGGGGCAGACTGTCCACGGATTCCTACAGGGAGGCAAATCATGACGTACTGGGGGCAGACTGTCCACGGATTCCTATAGGGAGGCAAATCATGAGGTACTGGGGACAGACTGTCATTGGATTTCTTCAGGGAGGCAAAACAGGAGGTACTGGGGCAGACTGTCTACGGATTCCTACAGGGAGGCAAATCATGAGGTACTGGGGGCAGACTGTCCATGGATTCCTACAGGGAGGCAAAACAGGAGGTACTGGGGGCAGATTGTCCACGGATTGCTACAGGGAGGCAAATCATGAGGTACTAGGGGCAGACTGTCCATGGATTGCTACAGGGAGGCAAATTATGAAGTACTGGGGGCAGACTGTCCACGGGTTCCTACAGGGAGGCAGAGCAAGGTACTGGGGCAGACTGGGGAGGCAAATCAGGCAAAACATGAGGTACTAGGGGCAGACTGTCCATGGATTGCTACAGGGAGGCAAATTATGAAGTACTGGGGGCAGACTGTCCACGGGTTCCTACAGGGAGGCAGAGCAGGAGGCAATGGGGGCAGACTGTCCACGGATTGCTACAGGGAGGCAAAACAGGAGGTACTGGGGCAGACTGTCCACGGATTGCTACAGGGAGGCAGAGCAGGAGGTACTGGGGGCAGACTGTCCACGGATTTCTTCAGGGAGGCAAAACAGGAGGTACTGGGGCAGACTGTCCACGGATTCCTACAGGGAGGCAAATCATGACGTACTGGGGGCAGACTGTCCATGGATTCCTACAGGGAGGCAAATCATGACGTACTGGGGGCAGACTGTCCACGGATTGCTACAGGGAGGCAAATCATGAGGTACTAGGGGCAGACTGTCCATGGATTTCTACAGGGAGGCAAATCATGAGGTAATGGTGGCAGACTGTCGACGGGTTCCTACAGGAGGCAAACAGGAGGTACTGGGGCAGACTGTCCACGGATTGCTACAGGGAGGCAAAACAGGAGGTACTGGGGGCAGACTGTCCACGGATTGCTACAGGGAGGCAAATCATGAAGTACTGGGGGCTGACTGTCAACGGGTTCCTACAAGGAGGCAGAGCAGGAGGTACTGGGGGCAGACTGTCCACGGATTGCTACAGGGAGGCAAATTATGAAGTACTGGGGGCAGACTGTCCACGGGTTCCTACAGGGAGGCAGAGCAGGAGGTAATGGGGGCAGACTGTCCACGGATTGCTACAGGGAGGCAAAACAGGAGGTACTGGGGCAGACTGTCCACGGATTGCTACAGGGAGGCAGAGCAGGAGGTACTGGGGGGACAGACTGTCCACGGATTTCTTCATGGAGGCAAAACAGGAGGTACTGGGGCAGACTGTCCACGGATTCCTACAGGGAGGCAAATCATGACGTACTGGGGGCAGACTGTCCATGGATTCCTACAGGGAGGCAAATCATGACGTACTGGGGGCAGACTGTCCACGGATTGCTACAGGGAGGCAAATCATGAGGTACTAGGGGCAGACTGTCCATGGATTGCTACAGGGAGGCAAATCATGAGGTACTGGGGGCAGACTGTCGACGGGTTCCTACAGGAGGCAAACAGGAGGTACTGGGGCAGACTGTCCACGGATTGCTACAGGGAGGCAAAACAGGAGGTACTGGGGGCAGACTGTCCACGGATTGCTACAGGGAGGCAAATCATGAAGTACTGGGGGCTGACTGTCTACGGGTTCCTACAGGGAGGCAGAGCAGGAGGTAATGGGGGCAGACTGTCCACGGATTGCTACAGCAGGCAAACAGGAGGTACTGGGACAGACTGTCCACGGGTTCCTACAGGGAGGCAGAGCAGGAGGTACTAGGGAGGGAATGTCCACGGGTTCCTACAGGGAGGCAATTCATGAGGTACTGGGGGGCAGACTGTTCATGGATTGCTACAGGGAGGCAAATCATGAGGTACTGGGGGAAGACTGCCCACGGATTGCTACAGGGAGCCAAATCATAAGGTACTAGGGGCAGACTGTCCACGGATTGCTACAGGGAGGCAAATTATGAAGTACTGGGGGCAGACTGTCTACGGGTTCCTACAGGGAGGCAGAGCAGGAGGTAATGGGGGCAGACTGTCCACGGATTGCTACAGGGAGGCAAATTATGAAGTACTGGGGGCAGACTGTCCACGGGTTCCTACAGGGAGGCAGAGCAGGAGGTAATGGGGGCAGACTGTCCACGGATTGCTACAGGGAGGCAAATCATGAAGTACTGGGGGCAGACTGTCCACGGGTTCCTACAGGGAGGCAGAGCAGGAGGTACTGGGGCAGGCTGTCCACGGATTCCTACAAGGAGGCAGAGCAGGAGGTACTGGGGGCAGACTGTCCACGGATTCCTACAGGAGGCAAACAGGAGGTACTGGGGCAGACTGTCTACGGATTGCTACAGGGAGGCAAATTATGAAGTACTGGGGGCAGACTGTCCACGGGTTCCTACAGGGAGGCAGAGCAGGAGGTACTGGGGGCAGACTGTCCACGGATTGCTACAGGAGGCAAACAGGAGGTACTGGGACAGACTGTCCACGGATTGCTACAGGGAGGTAAATCATGAAGTACTAGGGGCAGACTGTCCACGGATTGCTACAGGGACGCAGAGCATGAGGTACTGTCCACAAACCTACACATGATGCGGGTATGAGGTACTGAATCCTCCTACCGTGTCCAGCAACCTCCACACTGTTGCAAGCAAAAGTTACCGCGAGTACTCTGACAAGAATGCCTTTAGGGACATAGTATATACTGGAGATTTATGCTGGCCATTGATTCCCACAGGGACATAAGCTGTGATCTACACTGACCAAAGTCATGATAAAAAACAAGTACAAGGTACTGAGGACCTACTCTTATCACGGATCAAAGTATACAAAGTAGAATCAATAAGCAGCAGTAAGTGCAAAGTATCTATTCTAACATCAGCTGATGCGAAGAAACTGGTGTTGTAAACTCGATTGGTGAAAACATACTCCTAATCCTTATGCAACATGCCTGTGTGGTCTCCAATGGCCTACTTCCTGGCACTCATGTCTGATACACATCTCTCATCATACCATTACTTTCCCAACTGCCTCTATAAGCACATCTGTTACTCTTTACTTTAGCCATCATCTAATGTTTGACAGCTGCTATAAGAACGTTGTACTTTAAAGTAAAACCATTAACGGGTTCGCCATCTTCATATTCCGTGGTTGAAACTGTGACACGGTAGGGTTGTAAGGAGGTCTGTTCAACTGATGTCAGGTCAGATGGAACCATGTCTATACAGTTTCTCAGGTGGAACACATTTGCTCTCGTGTTGAGGATGAGGACGCTGATTCCGACGATTATACAAGGGTTCATCTAGGACAGAAATATGTTTTCGCAGTTATCACATTTGAAGATCACTGTGTGGAGCTGAAAACGATATCAACATGGACACAATAAAAATCAAGTTAATCTTAGAAATTGAGACTAACATTGATATCTTGAAACGACATATATATGAAACAACGACGGTATATTTCATATAATTGTGTTTGCGTATCTTTCTTGACTTCAGAATAAGACATTAAAGTTGGTTTGTTCAATGTCAGATTGTGGATTGGTCCTCATTCGTTGGGTTAAGGAAACCGAACATCTTCTCATTATTATAAGAATGCTTTGAGAAATAAGATTGTTCATTGAACTTGTGTAATACAGGGTTTTTTATGATCGTGGCGAGATTCTTATTTCCCTTTCATCACGTCACCCAACCTTTCACGAATAGAACAGGTACACTGTGGTCTTGACGGTGGGGCCAGAGGGGAGAAGGTTGCGGGGACGTGAGTTGTGGAGTTAGCCAGTACATACTCTCTAGCCCCAACATACTTCACTGCTGAGCAGGAATGCCTAAATATGTGTCAAAGGACATGATGGTGCTGGGGTCTATTTTCAACTATCTTATTCACTATATGTCTATTTTGCAAGTGAGCTTCCAATAGAAGAATATCACACAGATAATGACACGACACGAAATGCGTGTGCGTGTGTGAGTGAGTGAGTGAATGTAATATATCCTTTGGCTTGATGTACCATATTTGTACCATTCTTCTCCATAGTAGTATTTTTCACGTATCAGTAGAGATCGATGTCTATTCTCTTTTAATCAGTAATGGTTATTTATGGAGGGATATATGTTTTATTTACATATGTTTTATTGACATATATCAAAAGCAGTGTTTCTTATCTTTTAATGCTAACCCTTCGATTTAACTGAAAGGCTGCTAATTCGTGGCTAAGACCAACTCACGAGCCCGCTCTTTCGTTTTGCCTTCACTTTTGGAAATATGTTCAAAAACAATCTACCCTCAAGGAGGAATCCCAGTGTGCCTGGATTGTTGCAAGTTCCGAAACTGTAACACTATACTGTGTATAATATCTCCGTACATCATGGAAGGCAATATTTCATTTACTACATACCTCGGATAGTTACAGCAGCAGCAGCAGAATGCAGTCTGTGGTAGGACGTTAGTCGGTGGTGACACATGCGGTCAGAGTGATCATGTCGTTAATTGGAAGCCCTGCTCACGTGGGGATGATGTTACCATAGCAATGGTGTATCTATTTGTCATCAACAAGTTGCATCATTATGTTTGCCCTCAACTACAAACACACTCATACGCATGCATGCACGGACGCACACACACGCACCCAAACACATGCAAACTAAGTAAAATGCATATACAGGTGGTTCAATGTCGAATTCATGGCACGATCCTTATTATGGGCTGGTGTTTAGTTCGCGGAATAAAACGCCCAATGCAAATTTTGTACACGCCAGGTAATATATTAACACGTTTTAACACCAATAAGCTACGGGACTCAGACAAATAACATTTTTGTTATCCTCCGAGTCAAAGTGACATGCTGCAGGGTAACACGGATACCCGCCCAGGCTCAGTTCTTGTTTCAGCGCCAATATGGAGCGAGGCAGGGTAACATGGATACCCGCCCAGGCGCAGTTCTTGTTTCAGCGCCCATGTCGAGCCAGGCAGGGTAACATGGATAACCGCCCAGGTGGAGTTCTTGTTTCAGCGCCCATGTCGAGCCAGGTAGGGTGACATGGATAACCGCCCAGGCGCAGTTCTTGTTTCAGCGCCCATGTCGAGGCAGGCAGGGTGACATGGATACCCGCCCAGGCGCAGTTCTTGTTTCAGCGCCCATGTCGAGCCAGGTAGGGTGACATGGATAACCGCCCAGGCGCAGTTCTTGTTTCAGCGCCCATGTCGAGCCAGGCAGGGTGACATGGATACCCGTCCAGGCGCAGTTCTTGTTTCAGCGCCCATGTCGAGGAAGGCAGGGTGACATGGATAACCGCCCAGGCGCAGTTCTTGTTTCAGCGCCCATGTCGAGGCAGGCAGGGTGACATGGATACCCGTCCAGGCGCAGTTCAGCGCCCATGTCGAGCCAGGCAGGCGCCCATGTCGAGGCAGGCAGGGGTGACATGGATACCCGCCCAGGCGCAGTTCTTGTTTCAGCGCCCATGGATGACCCGCCCAGGCGCAGTTCTTGTTTCAGCGCCCATGTCGAGGAAGGCAGGGTGACATGGATACCCGCCCAGGCGCAGTTCTTGTTTCAGCGCCCATGTCGAGCCAGGCAGGGTGACATGGATACCCGCCTAGGCGCAGTTCTTGTTTCAGCGCCCATGTCGAGGCAGGCAGGGTGACATGGATGACGCATTCTTGGATAGCCAGGCAGGGTGACATGGATACCCGTCCAGGCGCAGTTCTTGTTTCAGCGCCCATGTCGATGTCGAGGCAAGGCAGGGTGACATGGATACCCGCCCAGGCGCAGTTCTTGTTTCAGCGCCCATGTCGAGCCAGGTAGGGTGACATGGATACCCGTCCAGGCGCAGTTCTTGTTTCAGCGCCCATGTCGAGGACAGGCAGGGTGACATGGATACCCGCCCAGGCGCAGTTCTTGTTTCAGCGCCCATGTCGAGCCAGGCAGGGTGACATGGATACCCGCCCAGGCGCAGTTCTTGTTTCAGCGCCCATGTCGAGCCAGGCAGGGTGACATGGATAACCGCCCAGGCGCAGTTCTTGTTTCAGCGCCCATGTCGAGGCAGGCAGGGTGACATGGATAACCGCCCAGGCGCAGTTCTTGTTTCAGCGCCCATGTCGAGGCAGGCAGGGTGACATGGATACCCGCCCAGGCGCAGTTCTTGTTTCAGCGCCCATGTCGAGCCAGGCAGGGTGACATGGATACCCGCCCAGGCGCAGTTCTTGTTTCAGCGCCCATGTCGAGGCAGGCAGGGTGACATGGATACCCGCCCAGGCGCAGTTGTTGTTTCAGCGCCCATGTCGAGCCAGGCAGGGTGACATGGATACCCGCCCAGGCGCAGTTCTTGTTTCAGCGCCCATGTCGAGGCAGGCAGGGTGACATGGATACCCGCCTAGGCGCAGTTCTTGTTTCAGCGCCCATGTCGAGCCAGGCAGGGTGACATGGATACCCGCCCAGGCGCAGTTCCTGTTTCAGCGCCCATGTCGAGGCAGGCAGGGTGACATGGATAACCGCCCAGGCGCAGTTGTTGTTTCAGCGCCCACGTGGGGCCAGGCAGGGTGGCAACAAGTACCGTCTTTTAACGCCTTTGTTCTACCGACCTTCCTCTCTCCATCATTTATTTCTGATCACTGTGTAAGAAAATGTAGGGACATACAGTTAAATTTTTACGATACATTGTGATACAATAAAACGTAGCCACCAAACAATATTATATATCTGAACATAGTTCAATAGATTAATCGCTTTGGGGAAACTATATCCAAACCGTTTGACAGGACGATATGTGTAAACGTCCTGTGTCCGCTCTATGGCTTTCCAACGGGTTATTCAGGCATACTAACCTCCGGGACAAACAAAAGCATACACCATTTTGAATATTTGTATTTTAAACAAATGTTCTCAAAACATTACTGAACAGTCGTTGAACCACTGGAAACCTAAAGCCCCAAACACGTATACTATATCAACGTCAAAATATCCCCCTCGGAAAGCCATTCGTTGTTTGCTTCATCAATCATGGGTGTGTGATACTTTCTTTATCTAGGCAGTTTACACAACACTAGGATACATCCGGATGTTCTTTATTCTTCAGACGTGGCCCAAGGCAACTGAGACCGAGAAGAGCCTGAGAGACATATTGAAATCCTTTTAAAACATGCAGTCATACATGAATGCTCCGACCCTACCCATTTTCAGCATATTAAACACTACATGCTCGAACATGTTTATTATACATAGTGCTCGTGCAACACGACTTCTGAAAGGATTATCTGTTGATGTGAGTTTATCAACGTCGCCTTTTCAACCACAAGTCATGATCAATGATGCTGAAATTCTGCATTGTTGATCCGAGAAATAGTATCTCCCACACTTGTTCAAATGCACTCCAGTTCTCCAGACATGGGTTTTTATCAGACACGACAATCAGAGAATGAACGTTGTTCTTCAGAACCCAAAGCTTGTCAGCTGACCAAACCGGCTTGTCTGGCTTGCTGGTGGTTAATGCATGTATATTGTATAGCAGATGCGGAGATCCTTGATCAGGATGCCATTACTGGATTGTTGGGTACAGACTCGGTTATCTACTTGTCGCTTTGATTGAAATACGGCTGAGTATATTGTTCGTTAAACAACAAATAAACAAAAATATATGAAATGAGGTGCGTGGAGCGGGGATGCATCGTTCTCATTTTAATAACCGTTTTGTTTTCGTTCGCATGTCGTTCTCAAGACAGTACCGTGACGTCAGAAAACTCGTTTTTAATCACATTGTGTAAATTATTATTATTATAGGATCTTTATATAGTGCACATATGTATCTAATAGATGCTCAAGGCGCTGACATTTTCTCCCTCGATCACTGGATGTCAATCTCAACGGCACATCGTATTATCAATCTCAACTCCCTGGGGAGTATTCAAATCTTGCAGCCACTAGGCGCACCGAGTTATTGCGGTTTTCTCATCCTTACGAGGTACCCATTCACAGCTGGGTGGACTGGGACACATAGTGGTTACAGTGTTCGCTCGTCACGCCGAGACCCGGGTTCGATTCCCCACATGGGTACAATATTGCTAAAAGCTAAAAGCGGCATAAAATTAAACTCACTCACTCACTGTTACACAGCTGGGTCTTTGTGACATTTCACACAAGTGGATAACTATATTAGGAGAGATTCGCCCCAACAGACCACAGGTAGTTATTTATTGCTGTTTTGTTAGCCTTTTCGTGTGATCAGAATAAGAGGCGTGGTATGTCTCGACTAAAACCCGATTGGCAAAAATATATATTCTTGTTTTTATTTGTACAATAGTGTTCACATTACGCTCTCTATATTTTAACAAATATCATCACGTGACAAAACTCACTAAACACAACGGATTGTTTGTGAATATATTAAATTACAGCAATTTGTACACATTTAATGTATTTAATTATAGTTTCTTTACAGCTCTTGGCTTTTGTAAATACAAAACGCTAACACGGTTACATACTCCATCGTGAGCAAAACACAAAACAGCGGTCACAATTATAGGAATGGATCACTGACAATCAATGATAGGACAGTGTTAAAGTATGTCCAGCACTGGTATTAAGACATGGGGACATTCGTGGCAATGCTTATCATTCATTGATCAAATTTTACTGTAGGATATAGTATTGATAAGTTGGTAGCTAGATTTAGGCTGATAGGTTGTCTTCATTTGATGAAGAATTGTGTACTGCTTTCTAACAAGCATTTTAAATACATTTAAGGTTATAGGATTACATTGGAGATAAACTTTATGCGTTACAGTTAAACTGCGGATGTTTTAAGAGCCATCTTCAAATGGTTTGGGTGTAACACCTGTTGTAGAAAAGTCTGCGTGAAGTTTTAGAAAGAAACAAAACACATGTTGACTTACTGCAAAATGGTTTATTTAGAATTCAAGGCTATCTGGTCCATAGTATATATGAGCTCATTTTGATATCTCATTTTTGTGACAAAATGACAGTTTAAGGAACATATATTAATTTGAATATGAATATAATATTTCTGCGATCAATACTGATTTAAAAAAAGTTCTTCACTCCTGCAAGTTACGTTCTACTGCATCACATGGGCAATAAGTCAGTACATGACTTTCATCTTCTGTTAGAAATATGGTTGTACTCAACACTTCATTTTCATATAAATCACAGTTTTCTTGACGTTTTGAAAGTTTCGTAGACGAATCCAAATTGACAAAGCTGTTTGGGGATATACATTGCTAGTATCTGTTTAATACAGTTTACATTCAAATATAGATTTACATAAAGCGTAAATTCAAAAGATTTATGGTCACTTATCGAGGCATGCCGATCTTGACCGGCAGAATCAAAACACATTGCCGAAATTACTCAATTTCCTTCTTGCTAAAAGTAGACAAGACAAAACAATATATATATAAAGATGCTTTTTGATGTGACAGACACCAGTGAACTCCTACAGTAAGAGAGACGCTGTGATGGAGACAATGAAAACACCCATCCCCAGTACAGACTGTGATGAGGAACCGGTGGGTTTGGAGACGCTGATCTCGGCAGACATCACCGTGTTCCACCATGTTAGTTTACTCTTCACAATCACAGCTCTGGAAAAAAATTGATTCCTACAAATAGAGCAAGATAAAGACTCTTGGCCTAAATGACATGACATGTTGGTGCTGCGGTCTATTTTCAAATATCCTATTCAATATATGCATATTTTGCAAGAGAGAGAGAGAGAGAGAGAGAGAGAGAGAGAGAGAGAGAGAGAGAGAGAGAGAGAGAGAGAGAGAGAGAGAGAGAGAGAGAGAGAGAGAGAGAGAGAGAGAGAGAGATGAATGCATGAGGAGATAATCACGATCTGTTTCCGTGTTATTTATTCCTTGTAATTGTAAGGGGGCTTTACTGAATTTGTAGCCCAGACGATGTTTCAAGAGTATATCACCTAACCTAACCATGCAGCATGTCCATCACCATAGCTAATATGTTCATATGCCCCAAGGAAATATAAAATATGTTGACATTATATTGAATGACGATCAGGCAAATGCATTAAGTAGAGAAAAACATATGGAATCAAGTTCGCTTTGCAGATGCATTTAAATCAAGCGGAATTACATCAACAGGCTCCATTCTACATGGACCACCGTACTGAGTGAAGTGGAATAGATTGTGTCACAATTTGAGTGTGTTGCTGATTTGTGCAAAGCATGTCGCTGTAAACACACAACCAATGTTTTTACATCAATATTCTTTACTCTTATATATGAGATTCATTGTAAGTCTGTACTCCGTAAGTGAATGTGAAGTCGTCACCCTACAGAAACTGAAGCAAGCTTTTCATGGTCAGATTATTGTGTGATGATGCCCCAGTCAGAAATACTTATCGTTATGTATATACCTTGAATTGTAGACAGTCATGATGGAATGGATGTTTTTGGACAGCATTGCAGAATATAACACACACACACACTCTATCTATCTCTCACTCACAGGGGCGGTGGGGTAGCCTAATGGTTAAAGCGTTGGCTCGTCACGCCGAAGACCCGGGTTCGATTCCCCACATGGGTACAATGTGTGAAGCCCATTTTCTGGTGTCCCCCGCCGTGATGTTGCTGGAATATTGCTAAAAGCGGTGTAAAACCAAACTCAGTCAGTCAGTCAGTCTCTCACTCACACACACTCTCTCTCTCTCACACACACACTCACAGACACTCTCACACACTCAAACACACACCCATACCCCTATAGATTGCATGCTGACAAAGAATCAGCATGGTATAGCCGATATACTAGGGCATTTGGTTCATGTCATATCTGTTTGGTTAACGTACCTGAACTGGATGCCCTGTTTCACGTCGTAATCAGTCGGCGCCGTCCAGGTGAACATGGTATTGTTCTGCTTTGCTTCACTTGTGTGGGTGATGGCGTTCTAAGTATGAACAAAGCAATACACAATACACGTCCATTTTCAACATGTACAGTACTGTACTTCTGTGGAATCGATAATGTCACAGAGTTTCGCTTAGATTCAGATAAAACTCGTCAGCCATTGAAAAGGTTACTAAGCTTTCTCAAAGGCAATCTTATTTTATATACATTCAATGATTTCAAGCATACCTTGGCTACATTTTCACAGTCCATTGTTTTAATGGTATCATCAGAGGCGTTGTACTTGGCAAATGTCCCGGGCACTATGGCCGTGTCGGCAGTGGTACACTTGGTACAGCGGGCTTGGACCAGGAAACCCTCGAAGTATCCACCGGCGGCTGTTGTTTCCAGAGTAACTGAAACATACAACATAAAAAAACTAGTAATATTGGAGAGGAACTATCGGCAATAAAACGACAACGTTTAAGGGTAACGTTTGGTCTGATTATTAGGTCAAACTGCCGTGGACAGCTAGAACGTCTACAAATGCCTGACGCCGACGATCTGGACAAAGTGTGATAACTTCATTGTTTAACTGGTGTATAGGTAGCATGGACACTTGTACAGGCATAAAGTTCCAAAACTCATAGGGGCCGATGTGTGTAACACTCGACAATGTACACTGCGAATGAATCTTCAAGTGGCGATTTGAGGGAACGTATCTCACTCCCCTTGCAGCTCCTTACCAAGTTCAGGCAAGTCAAAACATTGATTACACAACAGTCTCGTTTCCTGCTGATTGGGTTTCGTCCTGTTGCGCAACATAGTACAATAACCAGTCCAGAATTTTGAGACCAATTCATTTAACTGGATACATAAATATTAATCAGTATTATTTGATACATCTAAGCACTTGTATATTGCAACACTACGCTCCTTCTAATCCTTACAAACACGTCGTGCAGCGTGCTCTGTCGTACAGCGTGCTCTGACAGACGGAAATCGTGGAAATCTCAAAACGAGGCTCTGCCGCTAGAAAAGTTTGGCGGTCTGGTACGGATTTGATATTATATCAATCACATTGTGCGATACAAAACTACACTGAATAAGCGCAAAGAACACATAATAGGTGTAACCAGTGAGCCAGATGAATTGTGAATCATTTTACGACCTCATCAAACAGGGACAGTCTGTGACGTCTTAGTTAAGGTCATGCTGCCTACACCTCGCCATAAAATATAGAAATACGATGTTATTAAAGTTCAAAATTAATATTTAATTGTAAATACTATTCTCTTATGAAACAAGGAATTGGAATTCAGTGTAACCATAGTTGTTTGTGGTGTCTCTTTTCACATTCACACGAGAAAATTCGGATCGGCTGAAAAGTAGGTCATTGTCTGAATAGCTGAATGAGACTCATGTTTCGGTTTGGAATGCGGTCGGTTGGATATGAGTTGATGCACACGTCTCCCTATAAAGTTTTCGAAGCGTTCAGTGGGAGAAAGGCTTTGGCACATTGTTGGTAATGGCAGGTGTTGAACTGCTGGTGGTTACCATCTACGATTCCTGCATGGTATGACTGTGGATGGTCGATGCCACGCTTTCCAAACCTGCCAACAAAGCTTGTGAGAATGTCGTCCAGATGGTATTGTCAAATGACCCTCCCTTGTAGGTTCTGTCCTGACCAGGTGTTTCAATCAGAGGTGGTTTGGGGAAACAGTGTTTTTCTTGTTCTTGGAACGCTATACTATGCAACAACAGCATGTGACGGTTTGTTACGACGTGGAACAACAGGAATAACTGGCAATGAAAGCAAGTGATTTACTTGCAAAAAACATTGCATGAATCCATCAACACTGGATAATTGGCTACTAGTCTTATGCCATGTTTCATGACGAGTCATGGTTCACTCCCAACTCCCATCACCAGTAAAATCGATGTGACGGCCAACGTTTAATCTTTCAGGAGATTAGGAAATAAACATACTGTGTTGTAAAATCAGAGGTATATAACGAAATTATAATAGCTCTAAATTTGATTGAAAACCGAATGCGTAGCGTGAGGTTTTAAATACATATTTCTAGAGCTATTATAATTTCGTTATATACCTCTGATTTTCCAACACAGTACGTTTATCTCCATTCTACCATACCCGCGTTATTAAGATCAAGTACATACTGTGTTGGAAAATCAGAGGTGTATGGCATGATTATATACCTCTGAATGACTTTGGTTAACCAATCACAATCCAGTATTTACTGAGGGGCCTAGTTGCTTGACAAAACATCTATGTCAGGCCATGGCCACTAGTCCGAACATATCCTCTGTCTGGGATGGGTACTTCAACGTCACAGTCCACATGCCGTTCTCAATGAACTCGCTGGTGTCGCCTTAAATAGGGGAAACAGCATGCGTCAGGATGATGTGGGTCAACTCATCAGAAGCATTCTTCGAAACATTCCAGTAAATCGGGACAACAGAGGTGATTTATCCGGTATTTGTGACACTGGCTGCTAACTGTAAATGATCTCTTACAACCAAGCGCCACCATCTGATCCCATCAACGCTTGGAACCCATTAGATTTGATCTCCTCCTCTCTTGCTGATATGATCATATTGTTTCTATTGGTCAATACCACAGATGAGAAGATATCAAACACCACATGGATCAGCAGATGTCTTCATGATTCCTGATATTCCCTACCTTTCTAGCACACACTCGTTGTATCACACCCAATGTTACCTGTAACCACCCATCCCTGTCAACATGATTCCTGATATCCCCTACCTTTCTAGCACACACTCGTTGTATCACACCCAATGTTACCTGTAACCACCCCTCCCTCTATGATGGAGGTTGTATTCACGGTGAGCGTGTATGGCGCGGTTGAGTTCTGGGCGGTGGTGTTGTCGTGATTAGGAGTGAGGTTGATGCAGGCTGACTTCCCGGCTCCGGCAGAATAGCCAAGGACCAGAGTGGGCAGGACACAGGCGATAGCGAGGAGGGTGTACACAGCCATCTGGAATCATGTCATTATTCATTATGTTGGATGAAAACCATTGAGGAACTATATAATACTTGTAGAATGTTTAGAACTCGAGCCCTGGCGCTACTTGCCTTTCACTTCTAAATCTTAAAGAGTGAGTAATTTTAATGACATGACTCAGACACACATACTTAAGCAAAAGGCTTATTGACTGAGTTATATTGGTAGAGAGGGAATTAGCAATAGTTTCAACTGCGGTATTAATAAGGTAGAAAAGTCACAAACTACATTTTCACATAATATATTTACTGTCATTGCTTCAAGAATTACATTATTTTCTGAAAAGAGGAAGTAAACAATAACATTAACAACCCTTTTTATTGACTTTTAGCACATCTATTAAACCATTTCTTGTGTTTTAAACATTACTCTTAAACATGTACCCGTGAAGATCCGGGTTAAAATTGTCCTTCAGCAACTCATGCTTGTCATAAGAGGCAACTAACGGAATCGGAATGTCAGACTCGCTGACCTGGGGCCCCTTTCACGAAGCACTAAGGTGATCGTAAGTCACTAAGGTAACCTTAGTGCAATGGTTACGTGAAAGGAGCCCCAGGTTAACACATGCCATCGTATACCAAGCAGAAAGATGCTTATGCTGTTGATCACTGGATTGTCTGGTCCAGATTCTATTATTTGTAGACCGCCGCCATATTTTGAGAATTTTGCTGAGTGGGCCGTTATACAACAAGCAAACAAATAAAACTAAAATATGATTTCGAGATCACCATACTTGCAGAATAACTGCAGCTTTTACGTCTATATTTTCTACCTAGAAGAAAATGAAACGCTCGGTTCGTTAGCGTTTCCCTCCGCCATGACGTTCTCACGGTCTGCTGTAACTGACGGTTCATTGAGGACAGTAAGTGACCTACTTGTCTTTCACGCTCTAGGTAGCAATAGTTGGTAAATAGAACTTGATGTAAAACCGAGTCACCACAACTAGTTCAAGTTAGCAAGTAGGGCATCTTCAACCGCCTGTGTGTTTCTGGATGGGTAAACAGCTGCAGCTGTCACGACTCATCGTACAACTATCTCTAATACAGGGTGGGGACCTGACACCAACCCGATACAGTCACGTGTAACAATGCATGTGTGTACACAGTTTGTAGACCTTGGTAACTTTTGTAAGAATATTACTTAACACGCATGCTCACCATTCACAGTACAACCAGAAATTATTGAGAATTTAAGATTGTAACTTTTATTTTTTTCACTCATTACTCACGTATTAAATGTGAATATCAGTAGAACATAACTCCAGATTCAAAGACAGGTGAACAGTTAGTGTTTTGTCAAGTCTTCAATGCGGCGGGGCATACTACTGATCAAAGAAGTTAGAAAGTCGTGGTCCATGCTGTCCCAATATCGGACCACCTCTTCTTTCATTTCAGCAATATTTGTCAGATTTTTCTTATTGACACTTTCCTTCATAAGTCCCCAAACATTTTCTATTGGATTTAAGTCAAGGCTATAGCTTGGCCAATCTAATAATGTCATATTTTGGGTCCGAAACCAGGCCTGTGAATGCTTTGAACGATGTTGTTGGTCGTTGTCCTGCTGGAAAATCCAAAACTTTCCATAGAACACGTGAGCAGATGGAAGTAAATGTCCCTCGAGAATATCTGTGTACCGCTCACTGTTCATATTCCCTTCAAATACACAGAGGGGCGTTGTCCCTAACATAGATATGCCACCCCACACGTTAAATTTCGGACTGTACTTTGGGCGCTGATACAAAAGTTTTTCAGTTTGTTTGGTCCAGAATTTCAGTGTATTAGGAAACAGCCACACAGAATTTTCATCTGAGAAAATCACATTGTCCCAGTTAAAATTTCTATGCTGTAAGCACCAGTTCAACCTTCGCTCCTTTTGTTCAGGTTTCATGATCGGTGATGGAATTCCTCGACTTTTCTGCCAACCCATTGCATGCAGCTCAGTTCTAATTGTCTCCTTACAGACAGCCACAGTTCCTCTATCAATTATATCCAGCCTTAAGTTTTCTAAACTCCTTCGTTTGTTTTTAGAAACAAGAATACCAAGTCGCCTCCTGTCACCGACAGTGAATTTTCTGGGCCTACCTGCGCCTCCCTGGTGCTCAATGCCATATCCATTTGCAATATTTTTCAAAACACGATAAACAGTGGACAAAGGTATGCCTGTTCTACTTGAAATCACTTTAGCTGATCTGATGTCCTTGTTATAATACTCTAAAATCAACTTCCTCTTCTCTAAATCATCCATACTGAGGATCACTGAAAATGTCGTCAACAAACCAAAAGTTTAGGTACACGGTGAAAACTTACTGGACCTACATTATTTTCAGTGTGTTTTAACACATTGTTGAAAAGTCTTTCAGCTTGTTAGCTTGAACTGAAAGGGAAGTCCGACATGATGCACATTGTCACGTGTGGATTCCAAAGTTGAAACTAAAAGTTAACAGGAAACCAGTCCTTCGGTAATTGTTCTTTATTTGATGAAGAAAGATCAGTGTGTTGTGACTTACATAGGAAAGAACAGGAGAATTCATGAGAATGGCTTTGATTTTCTCAGTAGACCGAGTTATGCCCAACAGACACATAGCCTTTTGGTATACACCTGGCATAAAACTGAAGCCTTTATCTGTATTAATAGTGTCAGGCAAACCATGATCTGATCTGTAATATTCCGTAAAGGAATAGTCTCTGGAAACGTAGTGGAAGCACACATACTGTGTACCTGACAATGTCTCTGCCACAAGTATTGTTTTTGCCAAAATGGGCAAAGGAGTTTCATGTGACAAACTCAAAACATGTTTTTATAGGAATTTAGAAGAACAGCCTGATGAAAAACCCTCCATTCGTTATCACCAGGTACATCTGGTGGTCTCCATTTCCTCATCAAATTGCTATCATTGAAAGGAAAAGGCAAACTCTTCCGATGAGAGTGTCCTGTTCACAAGATCTTTGAGTTTTCGGTCTTCTCCCAACAAAAGCCACATTGTCAGAATTTTGAATACTTTCCTTAAACAAAATGATAGGTCAAGAGAATGTTTCATGAACATGCCAGCTAAACCGTACGCGTCACTGGAATCATTCTCAGAATACATTTGCCAAGCCCCAGAACCAGTAACAACACAGGAAGGAAAAAATACATGGATTTTTCTTCAAGATCTTTCAAAAAAATTCAGTACTTTTCTCCGTTCCCCTTAACCGACCCAGAAACCAAGTGAGCCTGTATATTCACAAAATGGAGAGACGCACTAGTAAAACCTGCTCGAACCACAAGGCGTTGACTGACCATTCACAGCGTCTGGGGAGGAATGTCTTTTAACACCACTGAGATGGCTTGTAATATCTACAACATATATATCTATTACACGTAAAATACACTGTTAGTGTATATATTACGTAGATATGTGCTGGTTTACCTAAAACAACGATTAAACAAATCGTCCCGGGCCCTGTCTTCACACGGATCGAATTTATTGAATGGAATATATATTTAAAAGTAATGTAAACCACTAAAACTCAGATACAAGAGATATTATCTGTAAAATATACTAACCTTCATGTTCGTTCAGATCCACAGTTAAACAGCGTCTCCAGTCCGTGACTCAGTGACAGTGATGCTGGTTCTTGAATGGGAACAGGTTATATAGCCGGGTTACCCTTTCGCAATAACGACCAGATGAGCGTGAACAGTGTAGCGTTGTATCCAAGATACGCTTGAGGTAGTAGGTACGTCGCTGTTGCAACATGGACGCGGTGTTTGCCCTTAACCCTGAAAAGCTGCAGGCCCTAAAGATCCAGAACCAAAAGTTGTGGGTCCTGATCAGAAAGTGTAGGCCCTATATTTTAATATGGAAATAATACTCTTAGTTATTAGGTATGAAAAAGCTGTCGGCTATAAGGACCCGCTGCGGGTAGGAGTGGTTTTCAGTCGGCTTCGGGCCTAAGGACCGACGTTTATTTCGAACGCTGCATGAACGACGAGATGTTGTAAGGGTCATTTATGATACATAGGACATTCCTGTCTTCCATGGATGACAATGCCAGAGGCCACAACCAGCTATTCCGGGTACTACCGAACAACTAACAATATATACCGCATATTTCTTGTTGTGTTTCATTATATGCGTTATTGACGCAAAGAGGCGAGTAATTCCGACACATCAACGGATTGTGTTCAAACATGTACATGATGTTAATAAACGCTTTCCTCGTTCCTGTTACTGAAATTTGCTAATTATGCAAAGTTCAGCAACAATAACGAGAAAAGAGTTCCTGGGTCGATAGGTATGGCGGTAATTTGTCTGTATATGCTAACAAAATCATTAAGTATGTCTAAACAAAGTACGACCCAGAACATACTGGAGAGCTGACGAAAGTCCACATGCATGGTAAGTAGTCTTATATATAGGCTTGATGATGGAACAGCCTAATATACCTCTGTCCGGTTACATCGTACGTTTGTCTACCTTGATAAACGTCACTTTTTCAAAATTGCACAATTCAGAAAGTCAATGTTATTTCAGAAAAGTTAGATACCCGTGAGGATCTGGGTTAGAATATTAATCTTCAGCAACCCATGCTTGTCGTAAGAGGCGACTAATGGGATCGGGTGGTCAGGCTCACTGACTTGGTTGACACATGTCATCGGTTTCCAATTGCGTAGATTGATGTCCATGCTGTGGATCACTGGATTGTCTGGTCCAGACTCGATTATTTACAGACCGCCGCCCTATAGCTGGAATATTGCTGAGTGCGGCGTAAAACTAAACTCACTCACTAAGAAAAGTTAGAGCTAGGCACATTTCTTTGCTTCATGAGTTGCTCGATCTCCTGTTTTAAAGGTCAAACGGTACAAACGTTTGAGGCGTATTTTCTGTGATATTTTTGTAGTTTAATCTTGCGAACGCTTATTGTTATTGTCTCACATTTATGTATTCAACGAGTTAGTGTTGCGAGAGAATTAAAACAATATCTTGCATTTGCATTGCCTAACTGTAGCTCTTATAAAGAATTATGTTTCTATGAACGCTATTACCAATCCATACTGCTGCTTTACTCGCCATCGTGATATGGCTACAACGTATACTATCATCTGTTTCATGGATTAACAGCGACCAATATTTCTTACTTAACTTTCACTTGATGTAAAACGAAGGGAGACCCAACCATTTATAGCACCACAATTCCCAGGGTGTATTACAGGTACATCGAAGGGAAACCCTGTCGTGTAAAGCACCAAAATTCCCAGTGAACAGTCGAGACCGTTTGACGTAACGAATTCGCTTATCGTTGATAAGAATATCATATATTTCCCCTTGTTTCGGTCCATCCTAGCATCCTGCCGGTGCTGGAGTTTCACCAAAACCTTTCAGCTTTCCATCCATCATTTATCTGACTTGTGTTTTGTAGCTGAAATATTGCTCAAAATGTTGAAAATGCCAACTTGCTTATTTTGTTTAACGGCGGAGGACAACGAATATTGAGAAGATATGAAACTAGTTGTGGCTTAGCATCGTAATGTTTCGCATCGTTCACTAAATAAAATAGAACATTTATCAGACAATTTTATCGCATTCTTTATTTTTATGTTTTACAGATTAAAGATGAAAATGCAGCAGAGAGGGTTCGGGTGATCCTGGCACAGTCAGGCTGGTAAGGCTCATCATCAGCTCAGGGCCCTCGCCCACTCTACACGCAGCGAATGGGACTTCTCCCAGGAAACACTGCCTAGTCGAACCCACTAAGAACTTTCGGGGAATATGAAGGCTCCCCAACACTGCAGCCTTCTGCATTACCCGCAGTGTCAGAAGGGCTGTGCTCCCGGTGGAGAACCCGGGCACTCTCCTGGTCTGCGCCAAGAGAACAGGAGGTACCAAACCAAAGGCACCGAGAACAATGGGTAGCCTGACGACAGTGTACTTGGGATGCAAGCGAGACATTTCAAAGGCGAGGTCAGCATATTTATCATGCTCTTCCTGAATCTTGCCAATCACATTGCTGTCAAAAGGAACAGAAAATCCAATGATATAAATAAATTCATTGGCTTTATCAAAAAGGACAAGATCAGGTTTGTTGGCAGGAATTCTTCTAAGGCTGTATATGGGCCTATTCCACAGAAGGTTGAAAGCATCATTTTCCATGACGCCCTGGACATGTTCAGGGTCATACCATGGATGGACCTCGGACTCAAAGCCACAGACATGGCGGAGACGGTAGTAAAAGCAACGAGCCATGCCACCATGCCGTTTAAGATATGCTGTTTGTGCCAAAGAAGGGCATCCACTGACAAGGTGTTGGATAGTCTCTGTAAATTCATTACATAGTCGACATTTCATATTGATATTTTTCTTAAAGAATCACATTTTGGCGATTACGAGTGGGAAGTGACTGGTCCTGAGCAGCAAAAAGGAAGCCCTCAGTTTCTCATCCAGACGAAGGAGTCGGTGGGATTGCTATTCTGTTCCACACACTGCGTGTACACACGATGCAATGCTTTCTCAGAAAGCTTCTCCACAAAATACCGACCCTGGGCAGACTTGGTGAAGGACTTCAACTGGTTTACACGCTTAAGTATTATTATTATTGTTATTATTGTTATTTAAACTTTTATTTCAAAGTGAATACAGGTATCATTCACACAATACATCTACATGAAAAGAGAATGACAAGAAGGCCAGATTTTGTAAAACATATTGACTCTATTTGACTTTTCAGCTGCACATTTAGTAATATTGTACCCCCGTGCATTGAGATTGCCCTGCACTACAACCAGACGGGTCTTCTGGTCTCCACAGATACCGCCCCAAACCATGACTCCACCCCCGAATGGATGAACTTCTCTGATGCATGGCCTTGCTAAACGTTCCCCTCGTCGACGATATACCCGTTCTTTGCCATCACACTTGTAAAGGGTGAAACGGCTTTCATCGGAAAAGAGAACACGTCGCCAATCTCGGACTTGCCACCTGTATACTTGCCTTGCCCACCGTTGTCTGTTTTGGCGATGTCTGAGGGTCAGGACCATTTCGCGGAAAGGCCGGTAAGCCCTTATACCAGCTAATCTCAATCTTCGGGTCACTGTGCGACGACTGATACGATGCCCGAGTGCCGTAGCCGCCGTCGACGTTGCCGTCACGAACCTGTTCCGGAGATGGATAGTCCGGATGTAGCGGTCTTCTATGGGTGTAGTGACCCGTGGCCGTCCACTTCTCGGCCTGTCTTGAGTGCTACCAGTATTCCGGTAACGTGTGAACAGCCTGGAGATTGTTGCTGGGGTACAGCCGAACGTTCTGGCAAGATGAGCTTGGTAGCTCCCATATCGCGCATTCAATGGCTCGCTCTCGCTGAATTTGTCTCAGCTTCGGCATTTTGCATGTGCTTTCAGTTACTGATATGCCAGCGTGTATCCATCCCATTTCTACCCGACTGGTGCACGCATGTTCGTGATTTTCAAAGATTACATGTTATACCTTTTCTCGTGCTAGGGGTCACGTGACTACATCTACTGGACATCACTACTATTCTGCAATATTCCCCGTGATGACTTGACAATGTTTGCTTTGGATGTTTCATCGAACCTGACTTATAATAATCCTGAACTTTGCATATTAATGTTTGGAAGGTTGGCAATCGTTTCTGTTTATCGCATTCTTTATCCTATGGGTTTTGTTTCCGTGCCAGAAACATACGGTTATTTATGTTTCTTGATTTAAAATTGCAATACATCACTCACTCATTCACTCACTCACTCACGCACCCAATCACTCACTCACTCAATCACTCACTCAGGCATGGAGAGGTTCGCTATTACCAATCCATACTACTGCTTCATTCTCATTTATATCCGTGAGCATGTATGTCCTCATGGGTAAATAATATTAATAAGGGGCCATGTACCAAACATGAATACAACTAGTTCATGGTTAATGAACATGTAATGATAAAGGCTATGAAGACGTCGCTGTGGACGATCGCAGCTCATTGGGGTAACGCCCATTTGATATATATTTAGCTGCAGTAGAAGATGTGGCTTGCCTCGGTAACAGGAAACTGACTCTCAGCTACATCTAGGCAACCAACCATTTCAGAAGAGCCTAGATTTGTGTTCGTCGGCAGTAATAAAATGTGGGTCAGTTACAGACTGTAAGCAGAATATGCAAACTATCAATTAACAGAGAGGCTACTGGGTGGTTAGTAGTGGACACTTCAGTGTAGGGTATTAACAGAGAGGCTACTGGGTGGTTAGTAGTGAACACTTCAGTGTAGGGTATTAACAGAGAGGCTACTGGGTGGTTAGTAGTGGACAGTTCAGTGTAGGGTATTAACAGAGAGGCTACTGGGTAGGGTTAGTGGGTGGTGGACAGTTCAGTGTAGGGTATTAACAGAGAGGCTACTGGTAGTGGACAGTTCAGTAGTAGTGGACAGGCCACTGGGTGGCTAGTCAGTGTAGGGTATTAACAGAGAGGCTACTGGGTGGTTAGTAGTGGACAGTTCAGTGTAGGGTATTAACAGAGAGGCTACTGGGTGGTTAGTAGTGGACAGTTCAGTGTAGGGTATTAACAGAGAGGCTACTGGGTGGTTAGTAGTGGACAGTTCAGTGTAGGGTATTAACAGAGAGGCTACTGGGTGGTTAGTAGTGGACACTTGGGTGGTTAGTAGTGGACAGTGTAGGGTATTAACAGAGAGGCTACTGGGTGGTTAGTAGTGGACACTTCAGTGTAGGGTATTAACAGAGAGGCTACTGGGTGGTTAGTAGTGGACACTTTAGTGTAGGGTATTAACAGAGAGGCTACTGGGTGGTTAGTAGTGAACACTTCAGTGTAGGGTATTAACAGAGAGGCTACTGGGATGTTAGTAGTGGACAGTTCAGTGTAGGGAATTAACAGAGAGGCTACTGGGTGGTTAGTAGTGAATACGAGCAGTGTGTAGAATTGTAATGGAGTTCCAATGTTTGTTTAGTGCTGGACACGTAAGTGTAGGGTGCCCTATCTGATATAGGTGCCTATCAAATGCCTTTCGACAATACAATGGATAATATACTTAAATCAATTAGAAACGCATCGTCCTATTATCATTGATCATGGAATATGCAAAACGAATTTTGAACCCAAACTGAGCTTGAAGTAATGTGACTATGACAGATAATCGTGATGCATACTCAGAAGACTGAAAATCGCGTGAAAATGCAGGCGGTTCCACAGCACACAGACAGATCATTCAACTGTGTACCACAATCACACTGACAGATCATTCAACTGTGTATCACAATCACACTGACAGATCATTCAACTGTGTACCATAATCACACTGACAGATCATTCAACCGTTTACCATAATCACACTGACAGATCATTCAACTGTGTACCACAATCACACTGACATTTTTAACAGCAGTAAATTGTTGACAAAATGACACGTTTATCAGCTGTTGGGAGCTACGTCAAGTGACGTCAAGTGACTGGAAGGTTTGATTGTCACAATTTATAAGTCGTTAGGCTTTCACAGTGCCGACGCACAAGTGACAGAACACGTGATCGACCACACCCAGGGCAACCACGTGTCACCACACCAGCTGAAGATTATTACATTTCTTCACTCATTTAAGGAGTGAACCATTCGTGAACGAAGGGGTATCATCAGTCCCCAGACGGGCACGACAGCGATTACGTCAGTTGGGACTGCGTGCGCGCAGAGCCCATAATGGTCCCATACTGGCTCAGTGACAACGACAATAACGTACACTGAGATGCAGGACAGATCAGAGATGGATCCCTAGACAGTGGGAAGGTGTTCTCTTAATGACGAGTCCAAATTTCATCTCAGTCATCATGGATGGAACAGAGTCCGATTTCGACGCGTAGAACGTCACGCCGATTGCTGCGTTGAGCAGGTGACCCGCTGGGGTGGCGGTGGCGTTATGATTTGGGGAGTGATTAGTAGTCATGACAGGCCACCTGTTCACATCTGTCATGGTCGAGTTACAGCTCAACCGTTTACAGTGGAAGTACTGAGAACAATAGCTGTTCCCCACATGGCGGCAGATCAACGTCTTCACGTTTTGTAACAGAACAATGGACGATATCATACTGCTGGACCAGCATAAACTTTCTTCAGCAAAACAACATTCCTGTCCTGTCGTCCACGGACCTAACGCCGATGTGTGGGACAACATATAAGTAACATGTACAGCAAGGGTGTTGACTTGGTTCGTGTCTTATCACGCGTTACTTAAATACAGCACGCTAGTTCTTTTTGTCGGGAGCTTCTGTAACTTGCAAGAAATGTAAATTCAAGGTTTTGTTTTTGTGTGATGAGGGCATTTCCAGGATTAAGGTAACGGTTACATGATGCCCCATGCAATCCCCTTGTGAGTTGCACGAAGTGTTCTCGTGGTTATTTGTCGGGTACACCATTGGCTGTCATTGAATGAATCTATTTCCCACCGGTGAGGCTGGGGACCTAGACTTTTCTTGAGCAACTGTCATCACTGTTTGTGATTCATGCAAGCGTGCAGGTCTGGCAAATATGTTTCATAAATATTGAAAAGATTTTGTCTCTTTTGTTAACTGCTGAACATTACATACAGTGTTATAATTTGTACATTCACGTGACACTACATTCCTGTCAGCGTTTCATTGTCCTATCATGACGAAACTATGTCGAACCAACCATATAGCTAAAACCAGTTTTGGACTTTAACGTACAGTAGAGTCACGATTTTGATTGTGTTTTAGTATGCATTATATCTGGTACAGAAACCGTTTATGATGAGAGAGGTGGTTCAGCCTCATGAACATCAAACAAAGCGACACAAATATCACCCTATTGTGGGAAACTCGTCTGATGTTTACGAAAGACGTAAACTCGCATACTTAAATACATTTTTAAGAAAAGGGTTAGAAGGGCTCTTATTCTCGAAACCTTCGTAGCCCTAAGAATTCTTAACTTTGATCGTAGCTAATGTGTTAAGAATGGGCTTAAGAAGTTCGTAGGGCTACGAACGTTTCGAGAATAGCTAGCCAGCCCAATATCTTTTTGACGAGAAGCTGCCATAAGGGGTTTTAAATATGGTAGTCAATTAAATGTGTCGATATCTTCAGCACCAAGAACACAGCGGGGACGCTGACAAAATCTGCATGTTTATCTTGGACAGATACATTGTATTTTTAACATTTCCATTGCATTTCTTCATATGGTTCAATGTGGGAAATATTGGTCCTTCGTGCGGTGTTTGACTATCTTACGCTGTGTGTGCTGAACTTGCAACTTCTTATTCAATAACGTTTAAATAGTGTTCTCCGTTAATTGATTAGTGTTAAAATCGTTGAACTTCAGTAGGTTTTATCGTTGTCAATGCGCCTTCAAGCAATCGGTCTGTCTCGTTATTAATATTTCGACTCCGTGTGTGTACTCTGGCCTTTATCCCCTTCTGACAATCACTGGTCGGCTCCTCTATGAGTGATAGCGTGGGGGGCGTCAGTGCAGCGAGGTGTACATCCCAAGGTATGACATGGAACGTCACTAGTATGTATGCGCAAGAGAGGTGAGACATGCTTGTAACTTCATGTATGGTCTCTTTGAAACCAGTGATGTTCTCTTTCAGGACCACTGTTGTCACAACTTTGTAGAAGAAATCGGACAAGATAGGGAGACTAAACACAACGCTAAATATATCTTGAAAATGGAGCTGACTGATGATATGTTAACGCTGGAATCTTGTTGTTCTGTGTTGTCCTTAAATGATATTAAGGTGGGGATGTTTAGTTTTGAGTTGGGACTTAAGGAACATATACCATTGACTAGCATTGAGGTGATTGTGGGGTCAAGAACCATCATCAATCTTCATAATGTCCATTGCAGAGCCACAGGTCAATACCCGTCATTCAGCCACTAGGGGCGCCATTTGCACAACATGATGGGCAACATTTCAAGAGGATAACGCTCATCGGGGGATGTTTGGGACGCAATTACTCAAACAGCAAAACATCCATGCCATGACCAGCATTCAGCCCTGATGTTTTACCCATTGAACACGTCTGAGACTTCATGGGCAGACGCGTAAATTCATCCACCACGCTCAATGAACTCGACGCGGCTCTCATTGAGGAGTGGAATACATGAGTCAGCATGACACTGGTCGATTCATCAGAAGCATGCCTCGAAGCATTGTCTGGTTGAACCAATACCAGTGACGTTAGCTGCCCACTAACATCTCATCACGCCAACCTTAGAACCTAAGCACCAGCATACATGATTATACAATCCACAAAGCAATCATGCTTGGAATTAAATGATACTTTATTCTTCTTTGTTTCTATATATGTTTTCTTCCTTATCTTTCTTACAATAATAGGTGTGGTAGTATTAGATTGACTGAAAATGAACAAACCTTCAGTAAATAAACTTTTAGTTCCTTGTACACAGTATTCAGTAAAAATTATCAAATTACATTAAACATACCTTGAAATTCCTTATACTACTGTAAATTGATTATCATTAAATAATATATAGCACCTATCAATAGAACCAGTAAACAAGAAAGCACATGTTTACACATTTTGACCAACTGAACAGCAAAAGAAAATAATTATCAAATTTATCGTATGGAAAATAAATGGTACCTAAAACAATAGGATAAGTCTTAAGGCCAAAGGAGACTAAGTAATAAAACTCTAAAGTAGTGTTTTAGGCCTAATAAAATGAAATGGTTGCTGAGCTTGAAGATGGTTCACCACTGCATCACTTTTTCATGTACACGTACTGATTTACAATCCCATGGGGCATTTACCTCCCTTTGGCAGAACCTTATTAAAGATCAAATTTAAGTGATGAAAGGAAATGAACTTGGAATAAGAATTCTGAAAAAAGACAGATAACATTGTATGAGACAACAGCAAAAACCTTTGAGTTCAACGAGGGATTTGTTTGGATTCCGATATCGTCATAGCAGTGACAGGTCAGTTGTAAGGTTGACTGACTGCTGTGATATTTATATTGTGGGAGGATGTGAGTAGAAGATGTAGAACTGGCCTGGTTGTGTCAAGGTGTTAATCTATTAGCATTCAGTCACTGTACAATAAGTGTGTGTTACATTGACCAGGGGAAAGGCACAATATTTAGCATCATGAAATTCAGGCTGCTTTGAGAACATGGGACATTGTACATTGAAACCTAGACACCAAAACAGTATCCGTTGACAACCACACAGTGACTCAGCGTCTGCCTCACTACCAGTAATATACTTTGATGTACAGTTGTCACTCAATACAGTGAAATACAAGTACATTCAAGAATTTCAGACTTATGTCTGGAGCGTACATGATGAATAATTGTGTGTTATTCCAAACGAACAGAATATTCTATAATACTGATAAACTTACTTATTTTCACTGAGATATACATATTGTTATAACATACAATGGAATTACCAGCCGGCATATGTGAAATGAAGCATCTTAAAGTGGTTTGGGTACACCAATGGCTGCAGAACGGCCTGCATGAATTCCAAGACAGAAAACAGTATACTGTTAAAGGGCTTATTATGAACTGCATACACCAGTCACCTCCTACAGTAACAGAGACGCCGTGATTGAGACAAGGACAACAGCCATCCCTAGTGCAGACTGTGATGAGGAGCTAGGGGCGGCGGTGACGCTGATCTCGTCAGACATCACTGTGTTCCACCATATTGGTCTAGTCTGGACAACCGCAGCTCTGGAAAATAAATTGATTCTTACAAACGGACCAAGATAAAGTCTACTGGCATAAATCACATGACGTGTGGGGTCTTATGAGAATACGTGGTGTGTGTACGTGCGTGCGTGTGTGAAATCCTTCAAAGATATAGTGTGTGACGTATATTCATGGATCAAACACATTTGCCGCATCCGGGCACCTGGTCCGGCTCCAGATGTAAGATTCCTCACTGTTCCAGATAGTTCTGGTTCTATAACGATCCTTGGTAGATAAACCGTCTCAATGTTTAATGTGGTGGTCGCTTCATTCAATGGGTAACCGAACTATGAGTAAATCACACACAGTACTTGCTTTACATCAAGAAGCATGGCCACCACTATAGCTGCTGTTATATTTGTCCTGAAGGAAACGTTTAAATATTGAAATTTCGATTACGTGACGATCAGAGAAATGTACAGAACAAATATAATCGTGTTCATCTTGGAGATACATTGTATGTAATTTCGTGTCCCCCGTTCTCATAGGCAACATCCATGGATAAAGCGTAATAGATTAAATAATGATTTGAGTATGTGGGCTATAGGAATTTCCACACTTATACCACTTAAAACAAAGTGTGTCTCCATACATACACTAAACGCCAAACGAAACGTTACCCTCCTGCCTTAGTGACGGAGGTACCTATCTTCAGATGGCGTTGTGATGCGCGGATGTCCACTTCTTGGTCTGTCTACGGTGACCCCAGTCTGACTGAATCCCTGAATAAGTGTTATTACCGTGATACGGTGGCATCCGAGGGCGTTGGCAACGGCATTGTACGTCGACCCAATCTGCACCATCCCAATGGCTCTTTCTCTCTCTTCAGCTGTTAATCGTGGCATATTTCTCGTACTTGTGTATCATATCATGTATTCTAGGCTCTCTTCATACCTTATAGAATCATTCCACATGTGAAATGGATGCAAGTACTGCTTGAATATTGCTGCGTTTTAGCGATTTATATTGCTATGTGTACACAGAAAAGGGAAAAAATGTTACTTTGCAGGCAAAAAATGTAAACAAAGATAATTTTCGATGTTCTTAAACACTTTTTCAGAAAAACAAACACACGTTTTACTTGTTTTCACTAATGCAAATCAGCAGAAAATGTTTTAAAGGACTGGAATCATGGGAATGAATATTTTCCATTTTTACACACTCTACAACAGTTGTTTCTTGTTTTAATAGTTGAAAAATGGTGACTTTAAATGGTCTATCTTTGTCTCAAAGCAGAATTATATTTCAACCCCTCTTTTGAACATCTAAATCACTGTTGTTGGTTTATTTCGGCATGGACGAAAATAGGACAATGTAACTCTTCAAAAAAGGATGCATTTCACCTAAATATGAATGCATTTGCGAAAAAGGTTTCGTGATTTGCATAAAGCTGTGTTGTTAAGCTTTCTTGTAACCTAATACCTTCTAACATATCTTTGATAGTTTTTCAGTAATTCATAAAGGTAGGAGGGTAACGTTTCTTTTGGCGTGTAGTGTACTCTGGCATGTTCTACGTCAGTATTGTTTACTTATATATATAAGAGGCATCGAAAGTCTCCAGTCCGTAAGCAAACATGAAGTAGTCACCCCCGAGGAAAATAAAGCAGGGTTTGTAAGGTTTAGTTGTAAACCACTCTTGGACTTGGAAAGTCATGATGTCCCAGTTAGAAGTGTTGATTGTGGTTTATAAACCTATATTTGGCCAGGCAGAACAATTGTCTGGACAACACTGCACAAAACCCCAGACATACAGCAAAATCCGAGGATACCTTCAGCATTTGACAGTGTATAAGCAGTTGGTAGATACCCGGACGTTGAGCTCATGCCATATACGGCTGGTTAACGTACCTGAACTCGATGCCCTGAGACACGTCAAAATCAGATGGCGCCGTCCAGGTGAACATGGCAGAGGTCTTCTCAACGGCACTTGTATGGGTGATGGAGTTCTGAGAATAAACGTTGTGTCAAAACACATCTGTCTTCGTTTAAAGTCTAATGGTGTGTTCTTCTGTGGGACCTTTCAAGATTGCAGTGAATGGAGGAACGTTAGAGATACTTGAAGAAGTTTCCAAGAAGTTTTCATAGCCTTGAACTTTCAAAAATATCACCAAGTATGCTTCTTCAGGGCAACCGTACTGGATACACGATTAATCTAAGTCTATATTTATACATAGCTTGAAAAAATTACCTGGTCGACTCCTGCACAGTTTTTGGTTTGAATAGTGTCATCCGAGGCGGTGTACTTGGCAAATGTCCCGGGCACTATGGCCGTGTCGGCAGTGGTACACTTGGTACAGCGGGCTTGGACCAGGAAACCCCTGAAGGGGTCGCCGGCGGTCGTGGCATTTAGAGTTACTGAAACATACAACAAACATACAAGAGGATCAGTGGGGTGGCATTTAGAGTTACTGAAACATACAACAAACATACACGAGGATCAGTGGGGTGGCATTAAGAGTTACTGAAACATACAACAAACATACACGAGGATCAGTGGAGAGGCATTTAGAGTTACTGAAACATACAACAAACATACACGAGGATCAGTGGAGCGGCATTTAGAGTTACTGAAACATACAACAAACATACACGAGGATCAGTGGAGTGGCATTTAGAGTTACTGAAACATACAACAAACATACACGAGGATCAGTGGAGTGGCATTTAGAGTTACTGAAACATACAACAAACATACACGAGGATCAGGGGGGTGGCATTAAGAGTTACTGAAACATACAACAAACATACAAGAGGATCAGTGGGGTGGCATTTAGAGTTACTGAAACATACAACAAACATACGCGAGGATCAGTGGAGCGGCATTTAGAGTTACTGAAACATACAACAAACATACACGAGGATCAGTGGGGTGGCATTAAGAGTTACTGAAACATACAACAAACGTACACGAGGATCATTGGAGCGGCATTTAGAGTTACTGAAACATACAACAAACATACAAGAGGATCAGTGGAGCGGCATTTAGAGTTACTGAAACATACAACAAACATACACGAGGATCAGTGGAGCGGCATTTAGAGTTACTGAAACATACAACAAACATACACGAGGATCAGTGGAGCGGCATTTAGAGTTACTGAAACATACAACAAACATACACGAGGATCAGTGGAGTGGCATTTAGAGTTACTGAAACATACAACAAACATACACGAGGATCAGTGGGGTGGCATTAAGAGTTACTGAAACATACAACAAACATACACGAGGATCAGTGGAGCGGCATTTAGAGTTACTGAAACATACAACAAAAAATACAAGAGGATCAGTGGAGAGGCATTAAGAGTTACTGAAACATACAACAAACATACACGAGGATCAGTGGAGCGGCATTTAGAGTTACTGAAACATACAACAAACATACACGAGGATCAGTGGAGTGGCATTTAGAGTTACTGAAACATACAACAAACATACAAGAGGATCAGTGGAGCGGCATTTAGAGTTACTGAAACATACAACAAACATACACGAGGATCAGTGGGGTGGCATTTAGAGTTACTGAAACATACAACAAACATACACGAGGATCAGTGGGGTGGCATTAAGAGTTACTGAAACATACAACAAACATACACGAGGATCAGTGGGGTGGCATTTAGAGTTACTGAAACATACAACAAACATACACGAGGATCAGTGGGGTGGCATTAAGAGTTACTGAAACATACAACAATCATACACGAGGATCAGTGGGGTGGCATTAAGAGTTACTGAAACATACAACAAACATACACGAGGATCATTGGAGCGGCATTTAGAGTTACTGAAACATACAACAAACATACAAGAGGATCAGTGGAGAGGCATTAAGAGTTACTGAAACATACAACAAACATACACGAGGATCAGTGGGGTGGCATTAAGAGTTACTGAAACATACAACAAACATACACGAGGATCAGTGGGTGGCATTTAGAGTTACTGAAACATACAACAAACATACAAGAGGATCAGTGGAGTGGCATTAAGAGTTACTGAAACATACAACAAACATACAAGAGGATCATTGGGGCGGCATTTAGAGTTACTGAAACATACAACAAACATACACGAGGATCAGTGGGGTGGCATTTAGAGTTACTGAAACATACAACAAACATACAAGAGGATCAGTGGAGTGGCATTTAGAGTTACTGAAACATACAACAAACATACAAGAGGATCAGTGGGGTGGCATTAAGAGTTACTGAAACATACAACAAACCTACACGAGGATCAGTGGAGTGGCATTTAGAGTTACTGAAACATACAACAAACATACAAGAGGATCAGTGGGGTGGCATTTAGAGTTACTGAAACATACAACAAACATACAAGAGGATCAGTGGAGTGGCATTTAGAGTTACTGAAACATACAACAAACATACAAGAGGATCAGTGGGGTGGCATTAAGAGTTACTGAAACATACAACAAACATACACGAGGATCAGTGGGCAGCATTTAGAGTTACTGAAACATACAACAAACATACACGAGGATCAGTGGAGCGGCATTTAGAGTTACTGAAACATACAACAAACATACACGAGGATCAGTGGAGGGGCATTTAGAGTTACTGAAACATACAACAAACATACATACAGAGGATCAGTGGGGTGGCATTTAGAGTTACTGAAACATACAACAAACATACACGAGGATCAGTGGAGTGGCATTTAGAGTTACTGAAACATACAACAAACATACACGAGGATCAGTGGGGTGGCATTTAGAGTTACTGAAACATACAACAAACATACACGAGGATCAGGATCAGAGCGGCATTTAGAGTTACTGAAACATACAACAAACATACACGAGGATCAGTGGAGTGGCATTTAAGAGTTACTGAAACATACAACAAACATACACGAGGATCAGTGGGCGGCATTTAGAGTTACTGAAACATACAACAAACATACACGAGGATCAGTGGAGTGGCATTTAGAGTTACTGAAACATACAACAAACATACACGAGGATCAGTGGGCAGGCAGAGTTACTGAAACATACAACAAACATACACGAGGATCAGTGGAGCGGCATTTAGAGTTACTGAAACATACAACAAACATACACGAGGATCAGTGGAGGTGGCATTTAGAGTTACTGAAACATACAACAAACATACACGAGGATCAGTGGAGGTGGCATTTAGAGTTACTGAAACATACAACAAACATACACGAGGGATCAGTGGGGTGGCATTTAGAGTCAGTGGACTGAAACATACAACAAACATACACGAGGATCAGTGGGGTGGCATTAAGAGTTACTGAAACATACAACAAACATACACGAGGATCAGTGGGGTGGCATTTAGAGTTACTGAAACATACAACAAACATACACGAGGATCAGTGGGGCATGGCATTAAGAGTTACTGAAACATACAACAAACATACACACGAGGATCAGTGGGGGTGGCATTTAGAGTTACTGAAACATACAACAAACATACACGAGGATCAGTGGAGTGGCATTTAGAGTTACTGAAACATACAACAAACATACAAGGATCAGTGGGGTGGCATTTAGAGTTACTGAAACATACAACAAACATACACGAGGATCAGTGGAGTGGCATTTAGAGTTACTGAAACATACAACAAACATACACGAGAGGATCAGTGGAGTGGCATTTAGAGTTACTGAAACATACAACAAACATACACGAGGATCAGTGGGGTGGCATTAAGAGTTACTGAAACATACAACAAACATACACGAGGATCAGTGGGGTGGCATTACACGAGTTTTTTAGAGTTACTGAAACATACAACAAACATACACGAGGATCAGTGGGTGGCATTTAGAGTTACTGAAACATACAACAAACATACACGAGGATCAGTGGAGTGGCATTTAGAGTTACTGAAACATACAACAAACATACAAGAGGATCAGTGGGGTGGCATTAAGAGTTACTGAAACATACAACAAACATACACGAGGATCAGTGGGGTGGCATTTAGAGTTACTGAAACATACAACAAACATACACGAGGATCAGTGGGGTGGCATTTAGAGTTACTGAAACATACAACAAACATACAAGAGGATCAGTGGAGCGGCATTTAGAGTTACTGAAACATACAACAAACATACACGAGGATCAGTGGGGTGGCATATAGAGTTACTGAAACATACAACAAACATACAAGAGGATCAGTGGAGAGGCATTTAGAGTTACTGAAACATACAACAAACATACACGAGGATCAGTGGAGCGGCATTTAGAGTTACTGAAACATACAACAAACATACAAGAGGATCAGTGGAGAGGCATTAAGAGTTACTGAAACATACAACAAACATACACGAGGATCAGTGGGGTGGCATTTAGAGTTACTGAAACATACAACAAACATACACGAGGATCAGTGGGGTGTCATTAAGAGTTACTGAAACATACAACAAACATACACGAGGATCATTGGAGCGGCATTTAGAGTTACTGAAACATACAACAAACATACAAGAGGATCAGTGGAGAGGCATTAAGAGTTACTGAAACATACAACAAACATACACGAGGATCAGTGGGGTGGCATTAAGAGTTACTGAAACATACAACAAACATACACGAGGATCAGTGGGGTGGCATTAAGAGTTACTGAAACATACAACAAACATACACGAGGATCAGTGGGGTGGCATTTAGAGTTACTGAAACATACAACAAACATACACGAGGATCAGTGGGGTGGCATTTAGAGTTACTGAAACATACAACAAACATACACGAGGATCAGTGGAGCGGCATTTAGAGTTACTGAAACATACAACAAACATACACGAGGATCAGTGGGGTGGCATTTAGAGTTACTGAAACATACAACAAACATACACGAGGATCAGTGGGGTGGCATTTAGAGTTACTGAAACATACAACAAACATACACGAGGATCAGTGGGGTGGCATTTAGAGTTACTGAAACATACAACAAACATACACGAGGATCAGTGGAGCCTTGGAAAATTTTGTTTTTCACGCCAAGCCTGTCTAGTGCCATGTTGTACGTCAGGGGTGAAATATGCCCTCGACACAGTCTCGATTACTGTCGTGTTTTCTGCCCAAAACATATTTTCATTCATACAAGTACTACATAATTTATTGAATCTTCAGCAGTGTTGCAAACCGTTCTTTCATTAGTGGGTGTTGTGAAGTTTGAAATCTCCAGATTCAGATAGGCGTTTAACTTTCTTCAAGACAAGAGGGAGTAACTACACTTTCCAGTAGTGCACATCCCCTTTATGTAGGGCAATATTCCAGTACCTCAAGCCTTTAGTTCTACATTTCA